TGTTAAAATAAGTATTAAAAAACATGTTTAAAAAAAAATTTAGTGAAGATGTACCATAGAAAAGTGACAATTGTCATAATCGTTATTCTTAAAGTTTTTTGAATTTTTTTGACGAAAATCTTTTAAAATATGTATATATAACATGTTTAAATAAAAATTTAATGAAGATGTACTCTAGATAAGCGACAATTGTCATAATCATTATTTTTCAAGTTTTTTGATTTTTGTTGACGAAAATATGTTAAAATGAGTAATAATAACATGTTTAAATAAAAATTTAGTGAAGATGTACTATAGAAAATTGACAATTGTCATAATCGTTATTTTTAAAATTTCTTTGATGTAAATGGGTAAAAATATAGATTGTAAAATTAAAATTGCCTGAGTATATGCCATAGAAAAACATATGGTAATAATAGATTCTTCCCCAAAAACAGGAGCAAATTGGCATTTTATTACATTTGTTCATCGGGTCAGAAATTAATATGCAAAATTTATATTATAATATCTAATCCTAAGTTAGAAATTATTATTTTTTTACCAATTTTCACCAGACAATCTTGTTTAAAATTTGGATAAACTTTTTTTTCTATTTTAAAATCAGTATCGATGCAAGTTAACTATTTTCGTCAAAAAAAATCAAAAAACTTTAAAAATAACGATTATGACAATTGTCGCTTATCTAGAGTACATCTTCACTAAATTTTTATTTAAACATGTTATCAATACTTATTTTAAAATATCTTTGTCAATAAAATTCAAAAAACTTTAAAAATAACGATTATGACAATTGTCACTTTTCATTGGTACATCTTCACTAAATTTATATTTACACATGTTATTAATACTTATTTTAACATATTTTCGTCAAAAAAATTCAAAAAATTAAAACTAACGATTATGACAATTGTCACTTTTCTATGGCACATCTTCACTAAATTTTAATTTAAACATGTTTTTAATATTTATTTTAACATATTTTCTTCAAAAAAATTCAAAAAACTTTAAAAATAACAATTATGACAAATGTCACTTTTCATTGGTACTTCTTCACTAAATTTATATTTACACATGTTATTAATACTTATTTTAACATACTTTCTTCAAAAAAATTCAAAAAACTTTAAAATTAACGATTATGACAAATGTCACTTTTCATTGGTACATCTTCACTAAATTTATATTTACACATGTTATTAATACTTATTTTATAAATACTTATTTTAACATATTTTCGTCAAAAAACTTTAAAAATAGCGATTATGACAATTGTCAGTTTTCTATGGTACATCTTCACTAAATTTATATTTACACATGTTATTAATACTTATTTTAACATATTTTCGTCAAAAAAATTCAAAAAACTTTAAAAATAACGATTATGACAATTGTCACTTTTCTATGGTACATCTTCACTAAATTTATATTTACACATGTTATTAATACTTATTTTAACACATTTTCGTCAAAAAAATTCAAAAAACTTTAAAAATAGCGATTATGACAATTGTCACTTTTCATTGGTACATCTTCACTAAATTTATATTTACACATGTTATTACTTATTTTAACATATTTTCGTCAAAAAAATTCAAAAAACTTTAAAAATAACGATTATGACAATTGTCACTTTTCTATGGTACATCTTCACTAAATTTATATTTACACATGTTATTAATACTTATTTTAACAAATTTTCGTCAAAAAAATTCAAAAAACTTTAAAATTAACCATTATGACAATTGTCACTTTTCATTGGTACATCTTCACTAAATTTATATTTACACATGTTATTAATTCTTATTTTAACATATTTTCGTCAAAAAAATTCGAAAAACTTTAAAAATAACGATTATGACAATTGTCACTTTTCATTGGTACATCTTCACTAAATTTGTATTTACACATGTTATTAATACTTATTTTAACATACTTCCTTCAAAAAAATTCAAAAAACTTATAAAAGAACGATTATGACAATTGTCACATTAAAATATTATCCTTAAAAAGATCATATAAAATAATATCAAAAAAGTTTCATAAAATCCACCTTATTTAATAATAAATAGATAATTTTAAAAAAATGATAAAAGATTTCACCTAAAAGATTGTTTATTTATCTAATAAAATTTACAATATAATTCCTCAATAAAAGATGTATTTACAAAGAAGATTGTGAAAATCACTAATAAATTATATTATAGAGAATATTACATTTTTACAATATAGCAGCATATTATTATTTTTATTAAAAAAACATCAAATAAATAAATTTATTTTCATTTCAAAATATAATAATATAAATAAAAAATATTAAATCATATCATGTTTATTTGTTGATAATAATAAAATATTTACATTAAATATAAATAAAATAAATTATTTTACTAAAATAAATAAATAATAATTAATGATAAGCATCGATGCAGAATTTTGACTAATTTATTTTAGCCAATTTTTAGGCTTAGCCCATTTTTAGGCTTAGCCAATTTTTAGGCTTAGCCGATTTTTAGGCTTAGCCTAATTAGGTTTAGCCGATTTTTAGGCTTAGCCTAATTAGGTTTAGGCGATTTTTAGGCTTAGCCGATTTTTAGGCTATACCTAATTAGGCTTAGCCAATTTTTCCACCTAAAATCTCGGCTAAGCCGTTTTTAGTCGGCTAAAATTAGCCGATTACGCAACACTAGATGTATGTTGGTTCAATATCAATTTTTTACTATATTGTGTCAATTTTTATTTCTCGATTAAACTGGGTTGATATTCGATGCCATCTAATTGGAGTGCGTATTTCCATGATTTCGAAACGTCTTACCACTGGGGTACGATTGGAATATATTCTTGAATTTATGGTGGCTTACTTTATTATTTTAATTTACTTATTCGGTATGGAAATTAGTTATGAGTGTTTTAAGAATGTTTAAGAGCAGATAAACGAATTGAAATTTGATTTTGGTTAAGACACGACATAAGTTATCCTGGAATCTCACATGTCAGTTTTGATCAAAATTGTAAAGGTATAATTTTTTCTTATATTCCTCGAGTCTCGACTATAAGTGCTCTCATGATCTGGCATAACTTTAATTTTAAAATGATACATAGTGCACTCTAATTTTAGACAGGTAATAAATTAAAAAAAAATATTTGCCTTTTTAACGAAAACTTATGTAAACATTATCAAGCTTTAAAAATTAAAATAAATTTTTTTTATAAGAAAAATTTAAAGTTTCATTAACAATATGTTATTTTAAAAAATATATATATTAGATAAAACTAGGGTAGGCTAATAAAAAAATCGTGGTATAAATCACCCCGATTTTAAAAAAAATATTAGTGATTTAATTAAAAATTTTACTAATATAAGGAAAGACAAAGACTTAGATTATTTTAGAATTAAATAATTTTTATATAAAAAATACTAAATTGTACTAGTAATAATTACTTATTAGATAAAAATAATACCTGATTTATTTTGTATCACTATTTCAATTTTTAACATAATTAATTGTTAATTGCATAATTCTAATATCAATGTAGAGAAATTATTTAATATTCTAGAAAATAATTAGTTTGTTAAATTTATGACTGTGAACTCACCCTCCTTCTAAAAAATGGGTTCTGGTTCAGTGAAATATTTATCAACCCGGCTGTTCGGGTTCAGGGCTTGCAGTCCAGAAAAATAAAAGAAGCATCAGTTTTAGCATTTACAATAAAAATAATTTTATCAATAATTAGAATAATGCAGTATAATTTAATTTGTTTTATAAAATTTTAAGAGAATTATCATGATATTTTCAAGATCTAGATGTTAAAAAGATCAATTTTTTTGCCTAACTTTGACAGTGCATTTCAACTTTTTATGTACTCGACATTCATATTTGAATTTAATTGTTTAAAAGGAAACTAGTTTTCCTAAATATTCTTAAGTTTGGAATACACTCTGCTCCATATGATAAAACTACTCTAAAATTAAATGGTCCTGCTAACCATCATTCATTTTTATTATTTCATCGGAAAACATAAGTTTATTAAACGAGTCAGATGTAGCTTGAATTTACCATGATTGATAGATAAGAGATTGGGTGAAGATTTAAAATTAGCCACGTTCCATGCCACTTCAGTTTCATCGTTTGTTAAATTTGAAACATATATGGGGTTTAGAAGATGGATAAGAAATGTGCCGGTTAAAGTATTTTAATAATATTGATTTTCAGATTAGTGGATTATAAAAATAAACAGATAATAATAATTAAATGATAAACTATTCTAATTCAGACATAATTAATTTTTTTTTAAATTTTGTCAATAAATAAACATTTTAAAAATGATTAGATTGCTTATTAGATGTTTGTAATATTTTGTTATAAACAATTGATTTATCCTCAGAATAAAAAGGTTGATTAAACCATATTTATCATAATATAATTGAAGAACTAACCTATATAGCAGAAAAAGAAAGGAGAGGGAGTAAAATTTTTGTGGCATACTAAACAATTGTCACAAAACTAATAATAAGATCATTTTAAATTAAGGATATTTTAAATTTGGATAATGTATCAGCCACCACATCTAATTGTGAAATAACAGTATCTAAAATTTAAAATATTAAAACCACCATTATTTATTAGTCAAAAATTTTTAATTTAGTTTAACAGTTTTATTTGAGGATATGCATAGTAGTATTCGTTTTAGAAATGAATGATTTTCTTTACGACTCACTGATATCGACCAGTTAAATTTTGTTTAAACAGTTTGCACATATCGAATTATTTACGAAGAAATATTATACTAAGGTTAAAAAAAATTATGACATCATATATTTTTCAATCTAAATCTGTAACTTCTCTAATTGAAATATTAGTATAAATCAAATAAATCGATTTTTAAAAAAATCACATGCTAACCCTAAATAAAACATTAAATATTATAAATACATAATATAATAATTTCTAAATTGATTATATATAATTATGTTATTATATATATCTATTTTTAAATTTTAGAATTAGATGAAAACCCGGTGAATTCCAACAAAAGATACTGCTTGCTAAGGTTAAAAAAAACTTATATTATAAGTAGTATAACAATCCGATTAATAATAATGTCTCTGGTGGGATCAGTGTAATTTTAACAGGGAAAGTTAAAACTGAGAATCACTGTAATTGTCCCTCGATTATGAAGGATTCTTAATTTTGAATACGTTTTTACGTAAAAAATAACAATTCTTTTTAATGGTAACGAGACGGCGTGTTCTCCCGTTTAATCTTGATAAAAGTGGGGAAACCCTATATTAATCAGGGTACGTAAGATTCTGAGACCCTATATCAAAACTCTAAAAGTGTTATAAGCGTCTAGTTATATACTATATCGTAATATGCTAGACCAACAAAATTAATCATAATTTAATATGCATATCGTACCAATAATAATTAAATTCGGCTTGGCAGTTATTTATTCATATAAAAAATTAATAACTATGATACGAATAATAATTAAATTATATATGATTTTTTATATTATTAGTCGTATTTGAATTTAAATAAAATCTGCAAAACCCGATAACCCGGGTTTGGGGGATCGGAAAAATGCTGTTATTCTTACGGGTTGAGTTGAGTCAAAATAATTTTGCAGGTCTCTAATTCGAATAGAATACGAATAATATTGAATACTGTTGTATATCTTAATTATTTTATTTTATAAAGAGATAAATATATTGAAATGTTTGGATTATTAATGGAACTTCAATCTGAAAAATTAATCGAATTAGCGTTACAAGGGTTTCAAGTTAATATTAAGTGTGAATTTTTTTTCCCCTAATTTTAAAATTATGTTTCCTCGTTAACAGAAAATAATAGCGGAAGGCGAAACAGAATTTGAGACTAGATATGAAAGTAAATTTCCGATGGCTATTTTAGCTATCATATCGCAAAATTTATACGATAAAACTAAAACGAATCAAATATTGATCATCCAAGTTACTTTTATATTTTATATGATAGTTATACAATTTTTATCTTCAAAATATGATAGATCATTAGTGACATGATAAAATTATATCCACACCATTTTGAACCTGGGAAAATTATACAAACTTTTCGGGTAAGTTAGTAATTTAGATATATAATAATATATAATAAATTGAATGGCATTGTATTATAAATCTCATATTAATTTCAATGCAGTAGCTAGCTTTAAGATGACGGTGCTAGGACAGAATTTCCGCTAACAAAATATCCTCAGGACAATATTAAATATGATAATTTTATAAGTTTTGAGTAAAATTGGTTTTTTAAAATATATACCCTAGTTATATCATATAAATTAACCTTACCTATATCTGACTTTAGAAAAGATATAAAGGACATTCTATCCTATTGCCTCATTTAGACGTGCTATAAGAGACACCTAATTTTATATTAGATGTGTATGAACCTGATTAATTTGTTGATATAAAATAAATATTATGTTTTAAAATCTCGTGTTGAAAGTTGTTGACACAAACGTATGAAATAGTCGGCGATCTTAAAATTAGAAAAGTTATAAGGATCAATATTCAATACATGTTTGTCAATTACACAAATTACACTTTGAATCACAGTGAAAAAATGATAGGCTTTGATAAAAGAATCGATATGTTGATGCTGTACTTAGCCGAAGATTGCAACTATTATACAATTAAGTAAATATAATATTATCTTGGATTTCAAATTATTTTATATGAAAAGTTTAAAAAAGTTTGAACCAATCCCCTTTTTAGTTCAAATTTCATACATGGTACATGATGATTAACATGTGAAAATAAAGAGTAGAGGCTTATAAAATTATTTTTTTTAAAAAAGAAATATTTAAAAAATGGGTATAATATTAATTATTTAAAATTTTTTTTTAATTAGATCGTCAAATTCACCTCTACCTTGTGTATTTGAAGCGTTCACGGGTCTTTTAAAAGTTTTGCCAAGCCATATACATTTATCATCGTCCTTTATCGACACATTATGGTTAGTTTTAAAATATCAGCATCAGGGTCATTCCATGACAAATCACCACGATTCGGCCAACTCCCTTCGATTTTTTTAAAATTTGGTAAGCAAAAAAAAGTTAATGTAACTAAGAAATACCCAAAATTTTGGCCTTTTAACATTTATATTTTTGGAGATATTAGGGTTCAAAGTAGCAAAAATGACCTATTTTTACCATGATAGGCCTTCATTCAATTAAGCATATCTTAAAGATTACGTGATTGTAACTAAATACAAATTTAATATCAAAATTACGTACAATGATTATACTTTTAGATAAAAAAATTTTTTTTTTTGATTTTTCCAATTTCCGGACATTTTATTTAATATATAAGAAGCAGTGGCTTAGGCATGGGGGGTTCAAACCCTCCTTCCTCTCTCCATGAAAAATGAAAAACAAATTTTATTTTAATTTACTAGTTTTTTTTTTTATATTAAAATTTTTATTAGTCAAATTGAGCGTTAAAAGTAAAACATATATACGTAATTTAAAAATATATATTAAAAATATCATTTAAACTATTTGTAAAATAAAATCTATATAAAAACTGTATAATAAAAAATATTAGTATAATAAATTGTATGTTGGGTGAGAGGAGGTCAAAAAAGGGAGCCGTGGATGGCAATGCAGTTAGATCTGCATATATCAATAGAAATGCGCTGTCTGAGATAGAAGCCTTCCTGTGGGTCACCAGTGATGGTGCGAATTTTTTTACCAAGGGATTTGAAGAAGGTTAGGACATGATTGATACGATTGGTATGAGATTGCGATTAGTTAGGGGAGTGTATTTATTAATTTTAGAGTTTTCCGCTCGCACGAATAAGTTGTTACTAAACGAGGGAGCAAATCGGTCGATGCAAGTATAATCCCATGCTAATGGAGTTCCATTACTCCAAGGTTTAAGGTCATCCCATCTGGCCGTATATTATTCTCGGTTGAGAGGCCACAGGGTTCAAGGGTTGCTGGAATTTGAGCTGAGCGTAGAGCACGGAGAATGGTGCCGTTAACTTCACTCGAGAATGTCTACCTTTAGAAAATCGACAATGAAGAGGATGATGTCCGAAACAATCAATGGGTTGGGAACATAATGTACATGCGGAGTTAGCTAGTATTTTACAACCAAGACGGAGACGTATTGCTATGCGTAATTCTTCGTTTGTTAAGAGGAGTCCTAAGTTTGAGCTGGGCAAAGGGGAAGGCAAAAGTTGTGGAAATTGTAGTTGTGGGAGGGAGAGATGATCAACTATAATGGGAGATAATAAATGTGGAATTGATGGGGATCCCTTAGAAGCAGCACTCGATATTAGATATTCAACGGAGTGGCGTATTAAGGGAAGATCCCAGTCCTGTTGCTTTCGTGATGTGGGGATTGGAGCGGAGAGCTCTCTTTCCAGATTGTTAGGGCGTGGGGGTCTGTGGGGTTATTGTTAAGTGATATAATTAAGCCGCAGCTTGATTTTGAGGCTAAAAAGGCAGCAAGGCTGAGTGACGCGGGTGATCTTAGGCCAAGACCCCCAAATTTCGAGGGTAAGGAGGCCTGCATCCAAGAATTAGTGCTGAATTTTATATTGAGAATGCCTTCTAAAGAGTCTTTGATTGTTGATTCTATTTGTTGAGAAGTTCCGGGAATAAAAAAAGTGGGGCAGAGTGGAAGGCGTGTTAGATTTTTGGGATAAAGAAAAAGTTTTTGAGAAGGAAGAAAGCTTGATGGGAAGGAAGGACTTGAAGGATTTTATGTAAAAGGTGGAAATTACGGAGAAATTTTGTTTTGAAATATTCGATTGCTTTATTGCCGCCTATTGGAGATCCAAGATGTGTGAACCCGGATAGGTTAATGGGTGTGAAGTTATGAGGAGCGGTAAAGATTTCATCTGGTGAATAAAATTCGCATATGTTGTTATTAAGAGACAACCCTGCAATATTGGTTAGATTATTTATTATAGGGGCTATTTTTAGGAGTTCATCATATGGACCAGCAAGGGTTCCATCATCCAAATACCAAATATTGAGGGTCAAATTTGTCTCACGATTTATCAATTCAATGATCGACTGGATACCTAAGCAAAAAAGGGTGGGAATAAATTTTAAATTATTTCGCATTGCATATAACTTGTCTAGTTTGTCATATTCCATTTTATAAAACTTTATATTTGTCAATATGAAAAAACGATCATTTTTAAAAGCTATTATTTTCTTTTGCCGGTTGAGTTTAAACTGTTGATTACACTTGAAACATGAGGGGATATTAAGAAAAGAGTTTTACGCTGATGATTTAGTAGGCTCATATGATAAGTTACTTTGCGATTTCGGAATTTGGTATGAAAATCTTGACAGAATAGAATACCAAAAAATGCTCTACTGGCCCTTTCCATATGAAATTACACTTTAGATTCCTTGCCTAATATCAAAACATTATTAATTATTTTTGCTACCTTACCAATTAGTACCTGCACTAATGAAAGGTCTTTTTCAACTTTAAAAAGGTAAAACCTATTTAAGAAATACCATGGTGAAAAACGTTTAAATGAATTAGCCCTATTAAATATTTATAAGGAGATTATTTTAGATAAAAATTTGATTCTAGATGAATTATCAAAATATCAGAGAAAAAGTAGACCTCTTTATAATTTCAAATCAAAAAATTGCAATATTATTATATTAGTTTTAATATATAATATTTATAATCAATATTTTTCTTAAAATGAATTCTTAGTTATAACATTTATATAATTTTTGTATTAACTCTGCTATTAATACTATTTAATCAAAGTAATGTGTATTATTTATATTTTGATAATATTGTCGTATTTTTTTAAACACCATTATTGCATAAGAATTACTTATATTTTAGGTAATTGTTAAATTACATTTTTTTTAAAATTGATTTATACAATAAATTTTTAAATATTATAATCTGTATAAAATATCTACATTTTGAAATTTATTTTAAATAATGGAAATAAATACATGATTAAATAAAGGAATGTTATTTATGCTCAAGTATATTTATATAATAAATAAAATCTATAATGAAACTCTAAAATTTTGTTATATGCAAATATTTAAAATTATTTTAACATAGCCTAAGATTAGAGATGAAAAAGTAGGGAAATTTTCCTGGGAAATTTCCCGAATTTTCCCTTAATATAAATATTGCAAAAATTATGATTTATATTTTATAAAATATAATAATTTATTTGAAAAGTTATGATTTATAATTTAATTTATTATATCTTTAAAATAATTTTTATTTTCCTCGTAAGTCTTTAAACTTATTTTTTTATTAGTGCAACTCTTCAAATTTATAATTTTAAAAGTACAAAACAAAGGTAAAATCCCCAAAAACATTAATTAAGTTATTCTAAATACTTTTAAAGAAAATACCAATAATTTTAATAATGTATCAGGCAAGGCACATCTAAAATTAAAAAATTTTTGACACTGTAACTGAACAAAATCAAACAATATTTTTATGTCAAATTGCCCTTATAATTTATTAGAAAATAAATAATTTATCAATTTTTTAAAATTAATGTGCCCAGCCTATAAAATTCCATCTAGATGTACAATTTGTAAAACATTATTAAATTTTAGTGACAAATATTATTGTAAAATAAGTGATCATTATTTTATATTAACGTTTTATTTTATCGTATTAACATTATTTTAAAATCAATTTATTTTGACTTGATATATTTTTTGATATCAAATTCAATTTTAAACGAACATTTTCATTTTATATAATTGGTTATTTCATGATTTATTTATTGTTTTAAAAAAGATAAAAAAGGAACAGTTTTTTTGGTTAAATAAAATAAATAAAATGTTATTCATAATAATAATAAAAAGGCTAAATGTAATTTATTTTAATATGAATAATCAAATTGTAATTGAAATACAAAGAATAAAGATGTTATCTTATGACAATTCTTCCTATAAGCCAATTTTAATATTTGGGGCGCCATATAACACAAGATTCTGATTATTCAAGAACTAAACTTGGTTGAATATATTTTATTAATATTCATTATATATGTTATATGGGCAAATAATTTTAAAAATTATAAATAATATAATAAATTGAATTTATTTTAGATATCGATAGACAATTTCTATAATTGATTGAAACCTCATTTATTGCTATTTTCACACAAGATAAATAATCCTTTAAATTATACCAAATACAAGAAAAACCATTTAAATATATAATTTTTTACAAAGACGCCTTCTTTCGGGATTTATCCATCTTTCTTATAAATATAAAGGAAGAGTTTAAATTTTTTATAAAATTGTTTTTAGTTTATATATTAAATAAGATATCGGGAAATTGGAAACAAAATTTTTTTTTATATAAAAGTATAATCGTACGTAATTTTGATATTAAATTTGTTATTTACAATTATGTTGTTTTTAGATATGGTTAATAAAGAAGGCAGATAATGGTAAAAATACGTCATTTTTGCCCATTATTTTTGCCACTTTGAACCCTAATATCTCCAAAAATATAAATGTTTGGAGGCTAACATTTTGGCTATTTCTTAATTACATTAACTTTTTTTTGCTCATTTGAAACATAAGTAACCCATCATAAATTGTTAAATAAGTAACTAAGAGTTAAAATATGAAATAAATTATATTTAAAAAAATAATTACATTAAAGGAAGGACATATGCCCATCTATTACCAACATCTTTGCCACTTACCGTTCAATTTCATTTCCATCCTTAGTGCCTTCCTCCAACTCAGTGTCCGTTAAATATACCACGAATGTAAATAAAAAGGATCATCATGACCCCATCGATTCAATCGATTTTAACACTTCCTATCAATCTGCCTGTCCACCTTTCTCAAAGCCCGAATATTATCATTGCCTCTACGATTTGGTGTTTGAAATAATCAGGTTAGGCGTTGATTTTAACTCTCTAAAGCTCATGATCCGTTCCATGTTTCACGAAATGCTATCCAGCTCCTTAGCATTCTACTCGCATTCTTCACCCAACCTTTCTTCCCCAACTACCTATAAAAATTCCTCTAAGAATATTCGGGATATAAAAAAAAATCGTAATCGAAATGGCTTTAAATGCCTATTGCGTTTGTTCGACAGAACTTTGTTTAATATAGTCGAGTCGCCTGGCATACTTATCAAAATTTCAACTTACGATTGGGATAAGGGGACATGTGATATATCCTATCAGGGAACATTCAATTTCGATATGAGCTTGGTAGAAATGTAAGTCCATCGAAATAAGAATTATTTGCGAATTTTTCTTTCTTTCCAAATTTATAAAGGTAATATTGTCCATTATTTTAAAATGAAATAAAATAAAAAATATAAAAAGTGTAAGATGACTTTTATGAAAAGAGTTTAAATAAATTATTTAAAATTATGCAAACACACCATTTAAATTGTTAAATATAATATTTTTGCTTTGCCTTTTTCTTCTTATGACTTCATTCCTCTTGGTGTGGTCATCTCTTTTTTTAGCAGCATATATCTCTGCTCGCTTCTAACCAGACACTTCATTTTATTAAAAATCGATTTAGCTTAATGTCCTTATCTACTAGAAATGTTCGCATTTTGGTAAAATAAATATAAATGATTTTTCCCCATAAAAATCTACTCTTCAGTGCATCGCTAGTCTACCATTTAAACCTGTAAATGAGAATTTTGATTTAGGCATTCTGAGAGCGCTTTTGCTTTTTCTTAGTGAGTACATTCTCTAATTTATTAATATTTCGTTCGACCATTTTGTATGATTTGCTTTCTCTCTATATTATTACGTTTACATATATTTTATCTTCATTTTAAATGATTATATATTTATGTTCTAAGCAATATTTTTATGATAAATCTTTGAAAAAAAAATATGCCAAATATATTGTATATATTGCTAAGATAATCATCCGTGTGTTTGCTTAATTTTTCTGATTGGAGAGGGTTGATTCACAGTTCCTCCATTCATATATGATATGAATTTGCAATTGAAATGAAATTTTATTTTTATACTTACAGGACCTAGGGCGATTGAGTACTTTAGTAAAAATAATAATTGGCATTAATAAGAAAAATGGGTCATTAAGTTTTAATAATAATAACCATTTTATTTTTTTAAAGAAAGTTAGAATGAAAGAACAAATGTTTCTCATAATATCTTAAAAAACGATTATAGGATTATATGCTTTGCTAGTTCTTGCGTTACAGTGTCTACGAATAAATCAAGAATCAAGGATTTAACGTTTGAATTATGTTCAAAACTAGTCAACACTTTAGCCATATTAAGACACAAAAATTTATCCGAATATTTTGACCAATCTGAGCTGACTTTTCACGATTTAGAATGTAATAATTATGAATGCTAATTATATACTTAATATATCATCATATTTAAAATGTGATTTAAATAAAATATCGTTCAAAATTTTGGGAAAAGTGAAAGTATTATATGTTAAATTTAGTTAAAACAGTTCACTATTCATCGAGAGAAAGATTATATTAATACTTCTTATAAAATTTAGATATGAATAGTTAAAAATTATCACAAGTCATAAAATAAATGAGATACTTAATTTTAGCATCTCATAAAATGATCTTAAACTTTTTTAAAATAGCTCTTCATTCATTTAACGATTTTTAAAAAAAACTCTTAGTTCATGGATAGTCCAAGATATTTAAGACTACGTTAGCCATCTTGAGTCAGATAGTAAGCCATGATATTTCGGTATAAATGGCGCAAGCATTATTTACGGAACCCATACTTTTTGGAAAAGGAATCTCACTCATCTAACTCTTGACCCATCTTTTACCTCTTTAGGATCTAAACTAACTCTATTTAATAATAGATATTCCCACTCTCTAAGGCTTCCAAAATATATAATTTATTTTAATGGATCACTTTATGAAGAAAATGTTACACTTTTTTGAGAATATTGCTATTAGAGATTTCATTAGACAGGCCCGGCCAATGTCTCGGATACACGGGCCATGTTGTATTTTAATTTTTTAAATATACTCGGGCCAGGCCTAAAAAATTTTTTAGAACCAAATATTTTAAATCGCCAATATTAGATATAATTGAAAATAAATATAATATATTTTAAAAATATCCGGGCTGGGCTGGGCCCGAAAATATATAACCTGGGCCGGGCCGAGAAAATTTTTTTGAAAAAAACATCCAGGCTGGGCCAAAAATTTTTTTTATATCCGGGCCGGGTCATGCAAGTAGTACCTCTGCAGGTTTCTGATAATCTATTATCATTTACCTTAAATTACAAATTTTTTCTTTGCAATCAAAAATATGATTAAAAAATTAGCAAAGGATCCAGCCAAATCGCAATCTGAATCGATTCACTCAATCAAAAGCGATTCCAGCAATTCTTATCACACCCTCTCTGACAGCGACTTAGAAAGTTATTATTCTTTTTTGATTATTGAAATTATAAAACTTTCTCCTTTTTGACCTGCTCTCATCTTTTAGGCTCTCCAGATTAGTCATCGGTTTTAAATTTAATTTACTATTCGTTTAATTTGAATTGAAAATATTATTTATGCACGCATACTCATATTAAATTCAAAAATCGCCATTAACTTTGATGATTATTTTCAAAGTATTGCTGACTTTTATATTACCAATAGACAGTAATAGACATAAAGATTGTCCTGACATGTCTTCATCTCAAAATTTAATCGATGATTCATATTACCATAGCGATTCCGACAACGATTTGGAGATCAGAGATATATTTGATTTCGAAATAAGTATCCAGATTATATTTTTTCACGTGAATATTCTTCTATGCCATTGCTTGTTCTTCTTTGATTTGCTAGAAAAGTTAATTTTATTTTGATAATTTTATCTTTTAAAATAAACTTTATAAATGAGAAATGACTTAATTTTATTTATATCAATCTTTTTTTTTAAAAACAAAGAAATTCTTATAATTAATAACTCTTTTTTTCTGTTAAATTATTTCTTTATTTAAGCAAATATAAATAATAACTAAACAAAAAAGTTAACAGTGCCGAAAAGTGCGATATTAAAAAACAAAAATTGGATGCAATTGCGTTTAATTCTAAAAAAGAGGAACTAATTAACGAAGCAAATTGTTCGAATCACGAATCAGATGCTATGTTTTTGGGCAAAAATAATGGGGAGAATAGCGATTCGAGAAGGGATATTATTAAAGTTCAAGATGTACTTGTTAAAATTTTGGAAGAAGTGAAAGATAAATGTCTAAATGAGTGGACTCATGGTCTGAGGAATTCTATTGAAATCGATATTTCTATAATTAACTATTGCTCACTTACCTACAGAGGTAAAATTGGAGAATAAAGTTCCTTTTTCAAAATAATATTATAAAATTAGAATTCTATTTTTTATATAATATTATAGCATTTACCGAGTTTACTTATACGCCTGATATTTTGGAAAGAAGGTATGCCAATCGAAAACCACTCTTCAATTCAGATTTTCTATATTTCGCAATATACCGAATTCTGATTCTTAATTTAAACTTGAAGCGGGCCAAATTTTACCAAGATAATGATATTGACCACAAGTCCATCATCCCTACTTTAGTTTAATTTAAAAAAATTTTTTTTAATTATATATATCGTTTTAAATTTTTAGGATGAATTTATTGGTTATTTTGAGCGCTACATCACTGTTATGGTTTATCCACGAGACTGGCTTGCCAAATTATACAATTTTACCTTGCAACATGATCTGTTAATCAATAACGATAGTAATTCAGCTTTAGTCAATGTTATAATGGGTAAAATAAACTATGTTTTGAATAATTGTTATATGTTTTGATTTTCATGAGTTGAAATTTATTTAAAATGATATGTTATTCATACGCTAGACATGAACGACTTCCAGAATCAAGATTTACATAACCATACTCAGACATTAAGTGAGTATCGTAACCTGCAGCCTTATAATCATAAATCGGATTACGCTAATCGTTTTCAATTTGAAGGTATTATAAATTATAACATTAACTTTCTTTAGAATACTTATCTTGGCACTAGCCAAATTAGCTTGCAAAGGGCTAAGTTTATCTTATTTTTATTGAAATCATGAGCCAGATCGGTTTGGTATCTTCAAATTCTAAGTCTGCACAATTTATTTTTTTGTAGAGGTGTACCGATACCACTTGTTGGAGGTAGATTCGATATTACCGATATTAATTTGATACCGGCCGTACCGATGCGATATCATAGCTGATTTTCTATTCCGTAAACAAGCTAATCATTTTAATTTTTAATGCATACATCTACTCATCTCATTTACTTTTTAATAGTATAACATTATAATTTAACTATACCAGTTTTAGTTTATATTCTGATGCTAAAAGTATATAAATTATTGAAAAATCACTTATTTACATGATAACATTAAACCATTTACATAAGTAATAAACAAATATATTATAAAATTTGAAATATTTTTTTTAAAATTAGACGCTGAAAAATTTTATAATATTGGTCGATAACCGATGTTTTAATAAAAATAAAATATCGACCCGACCTGATAAAAAATATGGGTATATCCCTAAGGTTAAATATGATCTCTTGGCAAATTTTTAATATTCATTTAGGCCATTAATGGAGGCCCTATGGCCATAGGCATATCTGGCGTATTTATATCCTAAACGTCATAATATTAATTCTTTTTAATAAATTTGTAGTGCACACAAATTCAACACGCTACGTTTCAAAACTTAAATAATGTTTTCGTTTAAATTGAGCACATTTACGTTTTGCATTTTAAATAATTTATTAAAAGTCAAAATGGCTTGCGTTTTTTGAAACGTTTTTAAATTTTCAAGTGATAGAATATCTTCTAAAATGTAAGAATAATAATTATTAAATGATACAATAATATTTTTAGCACATGGAATGATGAAATTACTAAAATGTTTTGGTATTGATACCAGTACTTTATATCTAAAGAAGAGATTGTGAAATTTTAAAGACCAATTGTACAAATCAGGTTTTAAAGGAGGAAAACATGAATATAAATACAATATATACAAAAGACTGTTGCAGATAAAGCAACATCATACAATTTAGATGTGTCACCCTCAAACACAATAAAATCTATAGTGCCTAATAATATTAATAGATTATTAAATGTATTGGAAGAAAAGTCGTCTGGGATGCAGTAAAAGCTTATTTTTATCTATAATTTATAAATATTTTATGTAGACTTTTTTTATGAAAAGCCTTGTAGAGGATGTAGAAACTTAAGTTTACACAATCGACTATTGTTTAAAACGGAGATTTTAAAATTTATACATTATCTAAAGACAAATGATACCTTACCATCACCTGCTAATGAATCTGCATTAGATATATTTAATAGCATATTTATTTATTATATATATCATTGATTTTGTATTTTAAATGTGATATTTTTCTTATTATATTTACATGTGATATTTATGTATTTTATATTTACAAGTGATATTATTATATTTTTATATTGACAATAATATTAATTATTGGTTCGGTTTTACAGCTGTATGAATTGAGAATACAAGTTTAATCATGCAAACCTGAAGATGAGATGCAATAAAAATTTCATTGATCCATATTATTGAAAGAAATAACCTAACATTTATGCAACTGCATGACAATATTAATATATAGAATTTTATAGTCTTACAGCTGTATGAATTGAGAACACAATAGAACAACTAGTAGTTTAACCATGCAAACGTGAAGATGAGATGCAATAAAAATGCCATTCTTATTTGATAAATATTATTGAAAGAAATAACCTAACCTTTTACAATATTAATATATAGAATTTTTTATATCATCCTTATATAATCAATATGAAAGAAATAACTTAACATTTATTCAACTACATTACAATATTAATAATTTTTAATGAAACTAACTTAATACATAAATGTCATTTGTGTTGTATGCAGTATTAATGAAAGTATTATAGATTCTTATGCAACAACATATGCTTGCATTCAAAGAAGTTGATGATCAGTTTTTATTTTCTGATGATTTAATAAAAATATTAATAGATGATCATCAGATTGTAATTCCCAATGGTAGATCCGCATATTATGTTGGATAGAATTTTGTTCTTAATGTAGAAACTCTATTTTAATACTTGGGAATGGCCGTTTATGGGCCCATAGTGTGAATGGACAAAGATGCCCCCTTTCTGCCTCAGTCCCCTCTATTCCTCTCCTAACAATCCCCCATAGTTACCTCTTGAATCTTGTAACACAGTCATCTGTTCCATCTAAATCAAATCATGATAATATTGCAACATCAAGCATTCACGAATCTAATATCCCTGATAATAATTTCACCAATTCCTTGGACTGCCCAAACCTCGTTTGTCCAGAATTCCAAGAGGTGCCAGAGAAGTTGTTTCTACCAATTATGCTCAATGCATTGATAGGCTGTTAGAAAATTTCTCCTCTAAGGATGCATGGTCAGCTTTTCTTTTATTTGGCCACAAATCTTTCCAAATTCCCGCTGTGAATGCTAATTCTTTCACTACAAATATTAAACTAGCATCTTCTAATATCAATTATGAAATCTTTGATATCATAACTCACACCTGCAACAAAAATCAGGACGATTTAAATATCAAGGTGAAGCTAATCGATAACAAAATAAACAATTTGGACATAAATGGTGCTCTCAGACTATGTATCTCCTTTGACACACTTGCTCGAGTGGACGCAGTGTCATACCAAAGACTACTAGCAAGCATCACCAGACACTGGGAGCTATAATGATTTATGAAACCAAGAACCACCCTTCTCCGATTTTCACTTCGGAAGAAGTATTTAAATCAGTGAGATCTTTTCAGAAGGACACGGCTCCTGGATTTGAAATCAAACCTTTATTTTTTTCAAGATTTAACTACTCCCATCCTCAAAGCTCTATTGGATAAAATAACTCAATTATGCAACAAGGTCATTAATGGTGAGGTCCCAGATTTCGCAAGGGCCCTCTTTTTGGAGCCAAACTTGTCGCCCTGAGAAAAAAGAATGGTGATATTAGGCCTATTGCCGTTGGTGCTGTATATAGGAGATTATGTTCCAAGCTTATAGCTAGCAGGATTTCTAAACAAGTTTCTAACATACTTCTTCCTCTTCAATTAGGTGTTGGAACGAGCTCAGGGTGTGAAGCGGCTACACATATAACTCGTATTTATGCTCAGAATGCCACAATAGCTCAACACCAAAATCCACTTTAGAAATGCTTACAAGAGCATTCATAGAAAAGTAATAATTTCACAATTCATAAAACATTTCTCAGCTTTTACAAACTATATCCTTTCATCCTATAAAAAAACCTTCCCATTTGGTATTTCACCATTATATCTTAACCTCTTCTGAAGGTAATAAATAGGGTGATCCCCTAGGCTCCATATAATTTTTTCTAGGTATCCATGATTTGATCACTAAAATAAAAAATGACTGCTCGCTACCTTTACATTTATGGTACATTGATGATGGGGTCGGCGATTCTGCTGAGGTGGAAAAGGCTATTAATATTATTAAGGCTTCCACTGATAGTCTCGGACTTGTGATCAACCAAACCAAAACCGAATATTGTGAAATCAATACAATTCCATTAAAAATTATCTCATTTGGGCTCTCCCATTGGTGAGGAGTCAGTAAATTCTTTTTTTTAGCGATATGGTCAATATATTTGAAAATTTAAAACTCATTCTTCCCTGTCTCTCGGCTCACAAGGCCTTTTTTTAATTAGGAATTTCTTCAACATCCCTAAAATTCTTTACGCCATACGATCGAGCCCATTTATTTTAGAGAGGTTGCATCTGGAAAGATTCGAAACCAAAATAAGATTAATTATTAGTGACTGCTTAAATATCAAGTTTACGGACATTGCTTGGCATTAAGCCTCGCTTCCTTCCAAACATGGCGGACTTGGTATAAGGTCCCCACTGTCGATCTCAATATGTGCGTTCATTGCTAGCCACCATTAGGCACATAGACTAATCGACCAACATTTGTCAGTCCACGATCCCTTTTTGAATAATGCTAGGACGGAGTGGGCAAAATTTGTGACAACCACATCAATATTTCCGATCTCTTTAAAACAGAAAGATTGGGTTCTACCACTTGTGAAAAACTCCGTTGATTACCTTATTTCGAGTCTTTCACCTTTGGCTAGATCCACATTCATTGAACTTATCTAGGATCGGGGATATGAATTTTTAGATGTTATTCCATCTAGCAATCTTAAATTTGAATTGGACAATAACGAGCTCAGCTATGCTTTATGTAACAGGCTCGACATTCCTTTTTCATTGCCATATAAATGCAGCAAATGTCATACTGATGATGATAATATGGCGCTTCATCCTTTACATTGCCCACGTAATCCGGTCGGCAAACTCGGCACTCGAGGTGCAATCAAATTATATCTCTTGCACTTAGGTCAGCTGGTTTTCCTACCCCATTGGAGCCTTTTGGTCTCTTTCCCGATGGTAGGCGTCATGATGGAGTTACATGAATTCCATGGTCACAAAGAAAGTTTCTAATATGGGATTTTTCTTGTTTGGACACGAACTCCCCTTCCAATTTTAACAAGGATGCTCTGAACAGATCTCAAAATTTTAAGATCACCAAATACAGCGCTGATTCTTCTAATTACATATTTGTACTAATCATCTGCTCCACTTTAACAACATATGGTGATTTGGCTAAAAAGTTTCTTTTAAGACTAATTATGTTTGTTCGATCTCTCCCGATGATTAGAGGAAGAGGATTTTAAATAATTGTGCTGGGTTTCACTTTTATTTATTTTGTATTTTACATTATTATTTTATTTATGCTCAGTATTGTCTTTTTGTTATTATGAATAATTTTTTTACTAATTCATAGTATAATAACTTTTTATGTTATTGTATTTTTTAATTTACATATATATAGAATTTCTTACAATCAATGAAATTTTTATATATTTGTATAGTATCTATTTTCACATTTACTAAGTTTATTAGTGTCCAAATTAACATTTAATAGAAATCAAGGGATATATCAATTAAATTTTTCTTAACATTCAAATATTTTATTTATATCCTTTAATAACATAAGTGTGTATAAAAATTAAATATGTAAAACAATTTAATATAAAATAATTTCATAAATAAATTTCTTACAATATAAATAAAAAAATTTTAAATTTGTCTCTAAGAATTTTTGATTCCATTGAAGAAGAAATATTTTCTCTGCTAGGCAATAATGGTTATCTGTATAATTTTGATGATTACATAATTTTAAAAATATAAAAAAAATAGGATATTTAAAAATTTTATATTTGAATATTTGTAGTACCTGCATCATCAATGGAAGCTGATTCTTCTTTGTTGATGATTATATTGTGTAAGATACATATTGTTTTTATCACTATTTCTATATAGCTAAGCCAATTTCTATTGTCCTACTCAGAAGCTCAAATTTTTTAACAATTCCCCCAAAACTCCTTTTAATTGTGCAAAGGATAAACCAGTAATTAAATACCTTTTATATAAATTATTACTAATGAATTACATTTATTTTCCCTTAAGGTAACAAACAATCTGTCTTTAGCATCAATTTGCTTGTTACTATTAGTAATTTTTGGATTAATATCATCATATATTAGTCAGAGAATATATGAAAGGTTGATCTTCTCATTCTTATATAATTATAAAATTGGGAATTTATTAAATCCTCTTTTATATTAATATATTCAGAAAAAAATTTCTTTTAACATATATTTGAGATGTCTTGCACCTCTTCCTTCTTTTATTTCTTGTAAATATAAGGCAAGCATTTTTTTTGTTTTAAATTTAGACGCTTCATATTGAAAAAATAAAACTTAACGCTTCAATTTAAACACAACTGTGTTTACGTTTTTTTAATATGCGTTTTGAAACGCTGCGTTGAAACGTTCAATTTGTGCGCACTATTATTCATATCCAAATACAAATTAAAGTTTTATAAACTATTATAATATTGATTAGGTCAAACTTTTGTTAAACATTTACTGAAAACCAAATGTCAAAATATATTATCGTTCGATATCCAAAACGAATCTCTTAAAGTTCTATGGCCACCCGACTCATCCGAATCACATACGTTATTAAACCTCATAATGGGAATTTTAGATATTAAACCATTGTTTACATGCTTAGTGGCCCGTAATCCCTTCAAAAATGGTTACGTATGCGTTAATATACCATTTGTCATTCGAATCGTGGAGACTTTGCAAATTTTATCCGAAATTTCATTAGAAATCGGTACATATATATATTTTATTTATTTTCGAACTTTTAAAACTTATATTTTAGATAATTATGAATGTAGCCTTAAGATAACGATTATGTTAGCTGAATACATGCAACCCTTTCCCGATTACTTATTGTCTTTGGGTTTACCCCATTCTAACGAGGGTATTTCTGATTCTTTTAACCTATCAAATGTTCCCTTATATCTTTACATCCTATATATTATCACAAACGGTTATTACATCGAAAGAGCCACCCGATTTCCCTCGTTATGGATACCAATTTTGAAGTATGTATATAATTATCAAAACAGTTAATTTCAAATTTATTTAAATCTACTGCTTATTTGTGTATGATTTGTTATTAAAAAGATATATAATATAATATTTTTAAATCAAAAATAACAATGATTAAGATGTTGTGGAATAATTGTCAAACTTCACGCTTTCTTCACATTGCCTAACAATTGTTTACCGCCATTTTTGAGAGACATTCGTAACACATTGCTCACTTCTAGAAGTTTTCATCGCAAGTTATTAGACCCCTATTTATATGTTGTATAAATACATCTTGTTACCTTTGTAGGCTCTGAATCCCAATATGGAATTAATTAACTATAGTATAATATTGTTAAAATAGGTTACATTTTTGCAAAAAAATAACTATAAATAGTTACATTTGAAAATTATAACTGGTAACTGCAATTATTTATATTTTTTGGAATGTAACTGCTAAAAATAACTGGTTACTTTTAAAATATTTTTATGTATCTTAATAAATATATTTTTATATAAAATAAAAATATAATAAATTACTTGTATTGTATATACCTTAATATAAAAGCATGGTAATAATTTATTCCAAACAATTATAAGTAATTTATTTATAAAAAGTAAGTAGACATTTAGTTGATTTTACTCTATTATATAGAATTAGTTATAAAATACTAGGTAAAATTCCACTTTTACAGACATATTTGACAGTTAGAGAATATATTACAGTTAATAATTTAACATATTTTACTAATCAATGCTCTTGATATTAAATATAGCAACAATTTGCATTCAATTATTTGACGCCATCTATTTATTTTAAGTAAAAATGATATTTTAATTTAATCTTCATATTATTCATCCCACAATGTTTCAAAAGATATTTTCTGATGTCCTTATCAATATTTTATAGTTTTCTGTAAAATATATTATTCGCTATATTGGTAAAAATTACTTGATTGTCATTTGATAATTAGATATACTGTAAATCTACGACATATAATATTCCACTGTTTCTATTGTGCTTTAATATTTTTTTAATTTATGATATGATTTTATCAATAGTTTTAAAATTATATTTTACTTTTATTAAGATTAATAAATTAAAATTACTCACTTTATAAAAAATTATATTTGATATATTATATTATTTAGTAATTTTATGGATCTATTATTACATTTCACTTCTGTCTTAAGACTTTGGCTTATATTCCATTTATTAAAAAACATTTTTGGTTCATTTTATATATTTATAAATTTATTTTCTCAAAAATCTATAAATTATGATGAATAGTTTTATTAAAAAATATCAACTTTTACATTCTTTCTTTTAAATTATTATTTAAGATATATGCATACATATTTGAGGGTCAGGGAGTGGGGGGAGGACTAAGGGTAATATTTTTTATTAGCTAAAAATGATATTTACAAAAAGTGATAAATTTCTGAAGGGGGGGAATTTCCCCTTGCCCCCCCCTAGCTACGCCTATGAAGGAATCCGACAGATACAGAATTCTAACTGATTGGTCATTTGATGAAGATGGCATTCAAATAATTCAGAATGATGAAATAGAAATAGTACAGTCCCTTCCTTCAAGTAACGTCAAAACAACGAACTTAAATGTAAAAATATATCTTGGCAAAAAAAATATTTGATTTTATTATATAAATAATAACTCCTATATTCGTGTAACTGGGCATTTGATTGATGACTAAATTGGCAAGACATTCAGCCATTCTAGTCTAAAGACTTCAGGGTAGGTATATATATGATGTACTCAACATATCTTAACTACTATTTGTAAGGACCAAAATAAAAATGTCTGCAAAATAACAGATCTCGCAACAAATTCTTCTGTATGTCTATCCTAAATACCTATATATTTTTTTTCTTATAGTGATTAGCTCATTACATTCGGTAATGGGGGAAGACATTGAGATATTGAATATATATCAATAGAAGATGTAATGTATTCTTCTGGTTAACGTTATGATTTAAACAACTTTGACTAACATCCCAGGCATCAAAGATAATTTTATCATAGATTAAGCTTAGTGGCAACACAAAATGTCAACAAGATCCTTGTAGAGAATGATGATTATAAGAAAGTATATAACATTACTATTCAAAATGCCAACGTTAAATTTAACAAATAAATCCGAACTATCTGAAATAATTAAGAGATTAAATTGTTAATTACTATATCCCATTACAACAAGATGGAGTTCTTTTTATAATTCTGTATAAATTATTTTTAAATAAAATGCTTATAGAATTTGATTTATTGCATGATGAATTTAAGTTGGGTAGATTCACAACACATGATCGTGATTTTATAAAAGATGATTGTGTGTTAATTTAAATGAATTTTCTAAAAAATTATAATTTAATTCTTAAATTATACAACAAGCTATTGATATACTTGAAGTTAAAAATTACACACATATATTTGGGTTATTATACCACATCAATAACACCGATTAGATCCCTGGAAGATAAGGATTAATATACGGTTGACCTTTAAAAGATTCTGTATATGCTAAAATTATAAAAGGGCAGTTTTAAGAGTTAACATTAATTTTAATGCTTTATTTAATTGAAACATACATTTATATAGGGAACAAAATTTTGAAACTATCACATCCATCTCACTTATATTATTTGAGTGTCATTTCGTTTACCCTGGTTCCGGTTGCTGGGTGTCTTGTCGTCCTATAATTTTCCAGAAACTGGTATCCTATTTTGGTGTCATTATATCTTATCGTTTCCTTGACTGTACGTACATACCTTTCTACCTGACCGCTAGAAACTGGGTAATAATGCGACATAAACATTTGCATTATTCTCCTTCACCCACTGAATGTGTCTGATTCGTTGGACCGAAATTGAGCCATGTTGTCTGAAACCAAGATTTCCGAATTTTAAACCTATTGAATACTTTTGTTAGTTTTTCTACTATATTCTATTCATCCTTTCTTTGACCCACTTTGATTGACTTGACTCTCGACTACTGTCAAATAATACCTGTTCTGTAGGACCCATTATACCCTTGTGTAGTTTGTTCCACGGTTCATCTTTTGGTTCCCAACTGTTAAATGCTGCTGCATTTTTATTACATTCGGCGCATTGCTCAGGCTTTTTATTTCCGACCACTACACATAGTCGTTAGCCAGTTCAATCATTCATTTTATCCTGGGTCCCTTATGTAGTTAATGGATTATCGTGTACCGTAATTGTTAAATACTCAAATTCCTGCAGTATGGTTTTAATTCGTCATGCACACTATCATCTTTCCTCCCTCTTTACAAACACTTTTAATACAATTATTTCCTATTTGATATTAATTATATTGAATGGCGGCGACTTTATAGCTATAATTTCCTCTTCGACAAAATTAACTATTTATAGTGGCTTTCTTGATAGGATGTCAGCTATATTTTCTTTCCCTCTTTGTTAAACTATTTGATACTCGTATACGAATCCTTACATTACCCACCTACATAACCTTGGTGAACCTTGTTTTCGCCTTTTGTTGTGTTGCTTCTGGACCAATGATTGGTATTTGTCGTTATTATAAACTTTCTTCCATTCAAATATTTATCAAACTTTTTAATACTAAATATAAACGTCAATGCTTCCCTTTTAATGGTCGAATAATTTTTTCCTATGTGATATTTTATTTCAGTGTATATATATTTTATTTTCCCTTATGGTTTTCGGTGTAATTATTTTTTACATAAATAAATTCTATATTTTCTTTTAAATGCTTTCGATTAAAATTTGTAATTAGTAAAATTTCTTGTAAATGATTTACAAAGTAACTTATAATGTAAATGGTTACATTTTTAAATTTAGCGGTAATTATACCTAGGATTGTAATAGTAACTGTTATACCTTTTTAAGAATGTAACTGGTTATGTTTTGAAAGTAACGTTATATAACATTAATAATATACTAATAAATATAAAAAAATAAAATGTTGCAAATAATAAGATTTCTGGTACTTTTAAAATAATTTGGTATAAACGATACGCATGAAATTTATTTATTTTAGCATAGTCAAGATGAGATAAAAAGAAAATTTCATTACTAGTTTAAAATGGATGATTTATTTGAGTATAGATAATTGAAATTTTATTTTCAACTTTGTTTATAAATTTAGTGATATATCAGGCATTACTACAGAATCAACAAGTTTAACTGTTTTCGATCATCTTCCTATCAATGACTCACTACGCTATTCAAGCTTTTTAAACAGAGCCCAGCTTATACAAATGGAACATGAAAACTACGATAATGACGCGAAAGTTAATGCGGATCTTCATGAAATAATTGGATTTGATCTCGCTGCAACATCCTTAGTAATCAATGACTTAAAGGACAAATGTGATAAGTAAATGTGGCATAGTATATTTTGGACTTAATATTTTATTGTAATATCATGTGAATCTTTATAAGCAGTTTGAATTAAAGATAATTTTAAATTTTAGTTTTTTGAATTATTCGCACAGTTTTATATGATTTTACAACTTTTTAACCAATTTTGAATAGATAAATATTTGCGCTGTTTTATAATATTGAATAAATCACAGGACAGGAATAGGATTCAAACTTTTATTTAAAAAAATACCTATAGAAGATAATCATACAGAAGTTAGCATCATATCTTCCTGAGTAAGAAAAAAAGTTGAGACTATCAAAACTATCAAGCCCAAGTCTTCTCCCTGATTTCCAGGTTTACCCAGGTAAGCCAGTTTCCCCTCTGATTTTCCTTCTCCATTTTTGACGGTCCTGAGTATTGTTAAAAAGCCCGTTTGGTTCGATTTTTAAAAATGATCAGATTAAGATTTTAGCCAAAAGTAAGCCTCGAGATTTGGCAAATAGATGTCAAAACTTTTATTCCATCTATAAGAAATCGACCCAAATTGAGCTTTTTAACAACACTAGTTCTAAACATCACTATTTGTAAGATTCATTTTTCTTATACCCGCCGCTATCATCTTTATCTAAGTCATCTTAGGGAGGTCTTGATTCTCTTTCCATCGAGGTGTTCACATTCCCAAAATATCAGTCTATTTTTTCTCATTAACACCCCCATCACTTCTATTCCCATCCTTCCTCCTAATTCCTTGCTAGCTTTTTTTAGGTACCACACACAACCATCTAATCATCTTCATCTCCGTTCTTTCCAATTTAGCTTCGTGAGCCCTATCATTGCTCATGTTTCACCGCCTTAAATTTTATAACCCTCACACAGCTTACGTTAGCTTTTCTTTTAATTTTAGGGAAACCTTTTTATTGTTAATATGGTGGAAAAGATTAGAAAACGTTATACAAAAATTTCTTTATTTTAGATTTATATTATAAAATTGGAAAACTAAAAATAATTAAAAATAACTGAAAAACTAAATATTGTTAAAAGATATGATAATTATTTTAATAGAAATATAAATTGCAATAGATATAATGATAATTGTAATTGTAGAGACTATAGCAATTATAACACTAACAACTTTAGAGGTCATAACTATAAATCCCATGATAAGGAAAACACTCGTAATAAAAATTTCTACTCTAAAAATAAAACTATAATTTTAAGTCTATATCAAAATGTAATTGAAACATATAAATTAAAAGATATAAATCATATGATTGAATTTAAAGAAATATTTATAATTAAAGAAGTTAACGATACAAATATTAAAGAAAATTATAAAATTAAAAAAACTCTTATAAATAATACTAAATGTGACAAAAAAATTGAAACTTAAAACTTTGAAGACAAATAAAAGTATCATAAAGAGAAGTCATGTAAAAACTAAACGTCTTCATTTTAAAAAAATACTTAAAGATGTGACGAGGAGATCATTTTCTAAATATTTGAGGCTTAAGAAATTATTTTTTACTAAAAGCAATCTTATGAAGAATTATTATTTTTAAACACTTTTTAAATTAAAAAACAAGGGTGTTAAATTCAAAATTTAACCCTTATGGATTGAAAATATTAATATATAAATAAAAATAAATTAAATACCAAAACACGAAATAAAATAATCGTAACATATTAAATAGGTTATGTTCAAATAATAGCAATTTAAGTTAAACGAATTTAAATACATATAAAAAAATAAATCTCAATTAACATTCCCCTTCTTCTGAAAAGCCTTCTCATAATCCATCTGAGCTGTCATAGAAAATTTGTCGTTCAAATGGTTGTTCATTTTGATTGTTCAAGTCATTGTAATCGTTGACTTGATTCTAACACGTTGGTTAGTTAATATCGTTTCGAGTACGTAGGCTTGTCGTTAATCTCCGTCGTTATCATTATCAATTTTACAAAATTGTTATTATCACCAGTTGAAAAATTATCATTATTAAATAGGATGTTGGAATGTGTGAATAATTAGAGAATTGATCAAATTTGGACGTTAGAATAATAAAAAGATGATAAATCAACAAGATTGTTATATAATATTTTTAGCGTTTTTTTTATTTTGCGTTTTCCAATTTTTTTTTCTTTCGCGTTTTAGTATTTAATTTATATTTTGGTGTTTTGGTATTTAATTTATTTTTATTTATATATTAATATTTTCAATCCATAAGGTTAAAATATGCAAATAAATATTATGCACATTTCCCTCTAAAAAAATTTTGAATTTAACACCCTTGTTTTTTAATTTAAAAAGTGTTTAAAAATAATAATTCTTCATAAGATTGCTTTTAGTAAAAAATAATTTCTTAAGCCTCAAATATTTAGAAAATGATCTCCTCATCACATCTTTAAATATTTTCTAAAATGAAGACGTTTAGTTTTTACATGACTTTTCTTTATGATACTTTTATTTGTCTTCAAAGTTTTAAGTTTCAATTTTTTTGTCACATTTAGTATTATTTATAAGAGTTTTTTTAATTTTATAATTTTCTTTAATATTTGTATCGTTAACTTCTTTAATTATAAATATTTCTTTAAATTCAATCATATGATTTATATCTTTTAATTTATATGTTTCAATTACATTTTGATATAGACTTAAAATTATAGTTTTATTTTTAGAGTAGAAATTTTTATTACGAGTGTTTTCCTTATCATGGGATTTATAGTTATGACCTCTAAAGTTGTTAGTGTTATAATTGCTATAGTCTCTACAATTACAATTATTATCATATCTTTTAACAAAGTTTTGTCCAAAGTTATTTTTAAAATACTCATTAGGTTTATAATCATTATAATTACTTTTGTTATAATTATGATTTCCATTATTATTATAACCTATATCACTAGTATTATAATTTTTTTAGATCGAATTTTGTCAATATTATTTTTATAAGGATCCTGGAATTAAATTAAAAATGGCCTATCTTATTTTTTGATTATACCTAAGAATTCATCTTTAGGTAATTCAGTTAATTCCCACATTTGGTCATAATTCCAGAAATCAAAAATACGAAAAATATCAATAGGTAGTTCATTAAGAAATTTAACTGTTAATTCATTATTAAGTAAATATTTTTTAAGGTTATCTATGTATTCATATATGTTCATTATGTTGATTTATATTTAAGTTATTTTATACTACAGGTTATGACTCTTGGATTGGAAATTTATAATAACTTTTCACTTTATACGTGGATTTAGAATATTTTGTAAATCATCATTGGTTTCACTATATAGAATTCATAACCTATTGTCCAACTTCCATATTGGTTCTTGTAAGCTGTCATTGTTAAAATTACCACTTTTATAATGATTGTTTTGGTTGTCATAATAATTGTTTCGATCATCGTGAGTTGTTTGTCTTGTTGTATATTTTCCATAGCTATGTTGATTGAAATTACCATAATTTATTTTGTGCCTTTGATGATCATGATAATAAGGTCTGTAATAAGTGTCGAGTTTGCTTTGATTGTTGCATCTATTGAATTTTGTTAACGTGGCGTGAATTTGTAGTTTTGGCTATGAAATCTTTGTGTGTCAAAATATGTTCGTGGAGCCCACTGCTGAACATAGTTGTTATCATATGGTATCAATTGTTTGTCGTCTGACGTTTTCCTGGTATCTGAGATGCGTTTTATCTCGAGTTTATCTTTTAGTTTGTCCTCCGAATCTAAAGTATCTGGTTTAGTGTTAACTTTCTTTTTTTTTTATTGAGAAGCCAGCATTTTATATATATTTCAGAGTTGTTAAAAGATACTTTTTAAATGGATCTAGATACAGATACATAGTCTAAAAAGTTATCAAGATACAGATACAATTTTTAAATGTATCTATATACAGATACATTTTTTATTATGCTCTTATAGGTTTGCATAAACCTAAATTAATATTATATTGTGAAAATTCATGAAATGAGCTAAAAAATTTATTGACGCGATATAACATTTATCAGAATATAACTAAAATAATGATCTTAATATAATATATGAAAATATATGATTAAATAATTATTAGATTTCAGTAATAAAATATTTTCAAAATTTTGATCATTTAGGCATCCTCGTTTATCTGTAAAGACATTTTTAGCAACATTAAATAGTCTTTCCACAGGGGCGCTTGAAGGAATTGTAGTGTTATATTTAATAAATAACAATTTTATATCAGAGTATTCTTTAAAAATGCTAAAATCTCTACATTCATTTTTGAAAAAATTATTTAAAATTTGTTGATTATCAAAATTTAAATCATTATTAGAAATTATAACTGCTGTAGGGTACTGAAAAAAATCTGAAATTAAATTATTTGTTTTTTTTGGCAGGTTATTTGCTTGCAGTCAGTTGATGACTTTGATAATTCACCAGCTAATCTTTGTATCAATTGTTTTCTTTTATTAAGATTTTCTTCCATTTGCAACCATGTCCAATCAAGTTTAAAAAAAGGGTGGAGCATGGTTGCTATAATATTATCATCTTCAAATAAGGTCACAATAAACCTAGAATTATTAAATATTTTTAATTTATTATATTAATTTACCTATCCTTAATCCCTTTAAGTAAGGCATCTAAGAGTGGTAAACAGAATCTCAGGTTCATTTCTTTAAAATTCTTTAATTTGATAATAAGTTGTGAAATAGTTTCACAGTAATAAGCTGTGTGCATATACTTATCTCCCTGCAAAATATCAAGGGAATTAGCTATTGGCTTCATTAGCTAATTTAAAATAATGCTATATATATAAATATTATTTATAACTTACTAAATAATATTCATGAATAAAATCAGATTCACTAGGTAGATTTATTCCATCACATATCTTGTCCACTTTGTCAGATTTAGCTTTTATAATTTCTGACATTAATTGTAAAGCATTATAGGTGGAGTTCCATCTAGTTATATTAGGACATATAAAATAACGACCAATATATTCCTTAATAATCTCAGATGAAATAGGAGACTTATTTTGCCTATTCCATATATTTTGGCATTTATGTAGTGTTGTGCTATATATCTAATGAAGAAAATATTACTTATTTAATTAAAATTAGTTTTACCCTCTGATATTGTTTACACTGCATGGCTCTATTGGCATCCACAGTGGCTATAAGATTCAATGTGTGACTGGCACAACATTGGTGATGAGGTAAACTAAATGATTCTGATAATTCAGAATCCTGTGCAGTATTATAAAGATTTGATATAGAAACTGGCACAACTGCTTCATCTTCCAGATCATCAATTGATTCGCTTGTATTTTTTTCAATTGGCTTGAAAACTCTTTAATAAATTAAGTAATCAATCATATATTATGTTTATATTTATTTATAATAAAATAAACCTAAAACATTTTTTGAAATTTTTGGCATTATCTGTAATGGTCTTTGAAATTTTATTTTGAATGCAATAATCCTTAGCTATATCTTGTAAATTTTTCGCTATTTTATCATTTTACAAGCCAACGCTATATTTTTTCTTTCCAAACTTATTGGATTTATATAGTGAGCGGTTACTCCTTTGTATGAACTAAAAATTAAAATTTCTTAAAATTGCTGAAATAATTTATTCTTAATTAATTATTATACAAATTTAAATGTTAGCTATACCAGCGATAGGCACTCCAACAATCTGCTGTTGTGCATATTAATGATGGTTCTATAAGACTTTTAATTATTTCTTTCTTTTCATTTTCCCATCTTTGGGAAATTCTACCAACAACTGTCTGTCGGCAAATTATATTTTTGTGTGGAGCCAAAGTGTTGATCATTTTTTTAAAAGAAGGATTTTAAACTGAAAATGGCTGCATGCCATCTATAATAAAAGCAATAATTAAATCATCTAAAGTGCCTTGAGTTAAAGTCAAAGGTCTTTTAGCAAAAATATTATTGGAGGATGAGCCTTGTCCAATATTTTCTTTGGTAGTTTTATTTTCCTTCCCCTTTTTTATTTTTGTTAACAAGGTTGGATGTTTTCTCTTAAAATTTAAATTAGAATTTTAAATATATAATATCTATACCCTTATGTGCTTCACGATATTGCACGTTGAAGTCATACTGACGGATATTTTTGTATTTTTAGGTAGACACGGCAAACATTTTACCATCAGAGAATTGTTTTCTTTGTTTTGAGATATTATCTAAAATATGCTCTATAAATTGGCCATGGTAAAGCAATAGAACTTGTTGTTGCTTCCTCTTCTTCATCGATATAGATCTAAATAAATATATAAACTTAAAAATTTAGTTATAAAATAAAATTTACCATTTCCATATTGTAATATTAAAATTTGTATGGTTTATTGATAAACTCGGACATAATATTTAAATTAATGAATATTTATATATATTTTTTATATATAAGTTTTAATATTTTATGTATATATAATTCTTTATTATAGTATTAATAAATATTAATATATATATATATATATTTATTTCATAAGCCAATATGAAATAAAATAAATTTTACAGTCAAATATTTTTATTTATAATAAAAAAAGGGGTATATAAAATGTATCTTAAAAAGTATCTAAAAACAGATGCAGATACCTCTAAAAAAATATTTAGATACAGATACTACATTTTTGTATCTAGATACTTTAACAACTCTGATATATTTAGATAGGATCTGCAGACTATTGAATTTAATTTTTTTATTTCGAAGTTAATTTAAATTTAATATTTTACATCTTTCTTTAAATTTATTATTTGGTTCCTAACTATAAGTAGTGTCGGATCCCACCATTGCCACCATGCTAATATGGTGGAAAAGATTAGTAAACGTTATACAAAAATTTCTTTATTTTAGATTTATATTATAAAATTTGAAAAACTAAATATAATTAAAAATAACTGAAAAACTAAATATAAAATAAGATATATATGTATTATAAAAAAACAATTTAAACGAAAACAAGGTTACAGGCTAAAATAATCATACATATTAAATAGGTTATGTTCAAATAATATCAATTTAAGTTAAACGAATTTAATTACATATAAAAAAATCAATCTCAATTAACAATTATAATAGTCGACATCTTGCATAGCTTCTTCCACGCTTGTCTGACCCTTGAAACAACAGCTGAATTTACACCTCCATTTGCGTTTAGTATGTCATCCAAACAACAAAACATTTCCACTTTTCCCAGGGTTACCCATTACCTATATTTAAATCACCCTACGTTAACATTATTTATACCCTTTTTACGCATATTCTACAACACACTTGCTTAGCACAAGTATGTGTAAATATCATTTTAGAGATGGAAAATATGCTGAACAGGAATGAGAAGAGATGAACGTTATGGGGCTTGCGTCTTATGTTTATAGATTAGAAGAAAGACTTATTACACTAGGTAATAAGAGCCCGAAGATAACAATGTCAAAACAAAGCTATTATCAACATAACCAGCAATAGGATACAATTTAAAATTAAAGCTATAAAATGGGATCTTAAACTTAAACAAACAGATATAAGTAGTCATGAACAATTTTTTAATGGAATTATAAAAAGTAATATATAGCCCATTTAGAATAAGTTTAAATGAGGGTATTCGAAATTTCAGTTATGCCAATATCTGTGAAATCTTGCATTATAGTATTTGATATAAATTTTGATGCTTCACGTATATTTTGTATATTTACCACAAAGTTACTTAAACATGCAAGCCCCAAACAAACCATCAATGCAGAAGTTACTTTATAATTAATATGGCAAGGTTTCTCATTGGAGATTATAAGTAATCAGAGCAGCACGCATTTTCACCATTTTGAAATTATCTGTTTCCAAGCAAAATGGGAAGTATTAGTCTTATATTTAATAGCCTGATTTAGTGTTATATATTCAAAATTATTTGGCTACCATTGAGCTTTAAAAGTTTATTATCAGATAGTATGGCTATTGTTAACAGCTTTACATAAATTATTCGGCAAAAACAAATTGCTATGTTATGTACACGTAAGACAAATATTTTTAAAAAAGGCAATAGCTTTAGTCTCAATACTCACCATGATTATATCAAGAAGCTAAAATTAAAATTATTAAGCTAACTTTTTAATCAAAGCTTAGACAGATGAAACATATTTCTTTTTCCTTAATTATACCAAAACATTTGACTCTTGATCAATGTGCTCAGTCAGATTCCCAGTTGAAGTATATGCCATACCATGCTAAATGTGGTATGATGAATAGATATTCTTGAATTTTACAGCTTGCATATTTAAAAACTAATAAGTTTTTTTTCTATCATCTTTTCAATTTACATAACATAGATTCAAACATTTATCGCTAATTTCTTGTTTGGTATCTTTTCTTTGTTATTAAGGTCAAACGATTTTTAGGACGGGACGTGTTTCAAAGACATTATCAGTACAGAACTCGTCCTAATTTTTTTTTATCCCAAAAATTTTAGAAAATGCAATTTTTTAATTCAAATATACTCTCTTTTTTAAAAATAATATTCATTAAATAAAACATTAAATTATCTTAAGTTCAGGGATCCAAGGCCATGATACTTCAATCATCTAACCTTGGAAGCAATTTTAAAATTGGGCCTTGCAAAAGACCCATTTATGGATACCATCACCTGTTTCTTTTATTTTTATGAGTTTTCATTCTTTCTTCTATTTAAAAATTTTAAGAAAATTTTTATAATTAAACTTTTTATAAACTATTATTTTAAAATATAAAAATATTAATTATCTTTTCCGGCTTTTTTAAAAGCTAGGCGTGTCCCAAAGATGTTATAACAAGAGGGCATCTATTCTCCCGGCTTGAAGGACGTTTTGACATTTTATATTTATTTATACTTATATATATTAAGATAATTAATGTTTTATTATTTTAAAACTGAAAGTAATTTTTTTTAAACTGCGCCAATAATTTATTTTAGAAAATTTTGTAATAAAACAATGCTTAGTTACTTTTTTCCCACAATATTTTATAAATAACTACTAATTATAAATATAAGCTATTAGGAAAACGAATCATATAATAAAATATTTTTTGTATAACGAATAATTTTTATCTCATTTTAAAATATTACCCTAGATTGTTTACCCAATGTTACAGATGCTTAAATCTAGTTTCCTTATGCCACTTTACTCGTTCCTTGACCACTAATAGTTTGAATACACTAAAGATGATCACGCTTGAAGATAGCAAAAACAGTATTGTGAAATCTTTGACTCCCTCCAAAACCAATAAGCAATTTTCCAGCATTAAACGCCAAATCGGATTAAACGAATTAAAATTTACTGTTGACCAAATCAAAGTATGTCTTTACATTTGCATCAACTCCGGACGACCGTTATATCACGTTTTAGATGTTTGGATGGGGATAATCTTTCCTTATTACAGACAGGTTTTACCACTGTTTATCATAAAAAAAATTTATTTGATGAAATAATGTCATGATAATATAAGTTTGCCTAGTTAGGAAAAAGCGCCTAAGAATTATGAAGCCCGAGAAAGTACATCCGTGATATGCAATTCGTATATTTATTAATAATGTGCAACATGTCAAACACCAAATATCATATATATAACATATTCCCATAATTAATTACAAATATGTTTTAACTATTTTAAAATTAATCAAGTGTTTGATCAGATGACGTATGGGTCATTCCATGACAAATCAACCACGATTCGGCCGACCCCCTTCGATTTTTTTAAAATTTGGTAAGCAAAGAAAGGTCGATGTAACTAAGAAATAGCCAAAATTTTAGCCTCCTAACATTTATATTTTTGAAGATATTAGGGTTCAAAGTGTCAAAAATGACGTATTTTTACCATTATCTGCCTTCATTCAATTAAGCATATCTTAAAAACTACATAATTGTAAATAACAAATTTAATATCAAAATTACGTACAAAGATTCTACTTTTAGATAAAAAAAATTTTTTATTTTTTTTCCCAATTTCCGGTCATTTTATTTAATATATAAGGACTAAAAACTATTTTTTGGAAATAATACGACCTTCAATTTTTTTAAAAAATTTAGTAGACATTATTAAACTCTTCCTTTATATTTATAAAAAAAAATTGGTCTGGGACGCGGCCATCTTCATTCTCAAAATCGATAAAAATGTTTAGAAAAGTGTATAAATATTTTCCCGAAAGGGGGCGTCTTTGTATAAAATTATATATTAATCAGTTTTTAATGGTTTTTCTTGGACTATTTGATATAATTTAAAGGATTATTCATCTTGTAAGTGAAAATAACAATAAATGGGGCTTTCATTCAATTATAGAAATTGTCTATCGATAAAAGAAATTCAATTTATTACTTTATTATAAAATTTTTTGCCCATATAACATATACTTAATGAATATTAATAAAATATATTCAACCAAGTTTATAGTTCTTGAATATATGAATCAGAATCTTGTTCATTTCATAGACGCCAAAAATAATATCAAAATTTTCTCTACTCAATTTTTTAAAATAATTTGAAATTTTTAAAATATTACAAATATTAATTTATTATTATTATGAAATTATATACAAAATAAAAGTATTATCATAAAATTACCCAAAACAATATAAATATTGGATCGGATTTTCTAAAATCGGCATAGTCTTTCTAAATTAGAATAACAATAAATAAGTGTTTCAATCAATAAAATAAATAAAAATTTTAAAATTGATTAACCCTTTCGCGCCCAGCGAGATCATTTGTCATTAAAATTTTTATCAATTAATTTTTATATTTAAAGAAACTAATGGTTGGTACTTAGAGATATTAATTTATAAAACAATATTTATTATTTCATATTTTATCATTAACCTGTCAAAATCATTATTTTATTATGTCAAAATGATTATTTTATTATATCAAAGTACAAGTATTTTTTGTTTATGGGAAATATTTCAAGCGCGAAAGGGTTTTATTCATTCAATAACACATACTCACTATATTAATTCATTTTTTAATAAATTTCTTGGTATTTTGATTTCTATCAACACCTAACCCCAAGCCTGGAAAAACTATAGACGAATATACAGTTAAAATTGTACAAGAATTTTATTGTATGGACGAAATAAGCAGAATCATACCAGACAAGAAAGATTGCGTTTCGATTTTGACCAAAGACGGAAAAAAGAATACCATAAGAGATTAATTTTAGATAATTTGAAAAAAATTTATATATTTTTTAAAGAAATGAGGCCTGATGTTAAAATTGGTTTTTCGAAATTCGCAAGCATTCGCCCAAAAATTGTATACTCGTTGAAGGTAGTGGTACACATGTATGTGATTGCAGCTACCACCAAAATTTAAATTAATGATCATTGGATCAAATTTAACCAATGATATGTTGCCCTTTAAAACATACAAACATATTTTACACTTAATAATTTGTAATTCGCCTCAACCATCCATTTATATGGGCAAATGTGATAATTGTCCAGGGTCAACACATTTACGCGATCAAATAGAAATATTGTTTCGTTCTAAGGACATCGAATTTATAACATACAAACAATGGCTATCCGTAGATAGAACCACCCTTGAAACAATAACCAAACCAGTAGGTGAATTTATTAATGCCTTTTTAAAATAAATGGAATCTTTATCATTTTTTTATTTCAACGCAACAATCGTTGTATCAAAACAATCTAAAATTGAACTTAGACGAAGACCAATATTTAATTTTGTGATTTTTAAGAAAACTATAGCTTTATACTTTAGGATGAAGTACAAAATTATCATTGGAATAGGGCTCAATCCACTGTTCACCCTTTTGTTATATATTATAAAGATAATTTTGCCAATATTTGTTGCCTAAATTATGTAATGATATCCGAATCTTTGCAACACAATACAATAGCAGTACATAATTTTAAAAAAACATTGCTCAATTTTTTAATTAATAAAATTTTTTATTTTTCGGTGGATCCGCTGAACAGTACAAAAACGTAAAAATTTTATTAATATTTGCCATCATGAGATGGATTTCGGGGTACAGGCGAAATGGCATTTTTCTGCTACAGCACACGGGAAAAGTGTTTGTGATGGGATTGGTGGCACTGTTAAAAGATTAGCCAGAGCTAGTTTACAAGGCCTTACTCAAAGTACACATCATATGAATTGTACGAGTTAGCTAAAGAAAATATTAATGTCATATATTTTGAATAGATGACCAAAATAAATTATGATTACGAAGATCTATTACTCAGGGAAAGATTTTCAAAAACTAGATCTATACCTGGAACACACAAAATACACCTTGATTCCAACAGATCTACATAATTTAAAAGTAAAATATATTCCAATTTAATAGAAAGTACTTTGGAATAGTTATCATATAATGATGAAAGTATAATTATTGAAGAAATATCATGATACCTAACTTATTTTTATGATTCTAATTGGTGGTTAGCTTTGTTTTAGTGAAAAATCAAAAGCAGGAAGAAATATATATAAAGTTTCTACACCCATCCGGACCTTCAAATTCCTTTACATTTCCAAGATAGACGACACTCTTTGCTTGCCCAAATGTCATATCTTAACATTAGTTTCACTGTTAAATGCTACTGGCCGTAGTTATACTATACATTGTCGTCACAAGAAAGTAAATGCGCTACCGAAAAATTAGAATCTTTTAAAAGTAAGTTTAAATTTAAATTATAGTAATTTTTTTAATATTTAGGGCGCCATATATGAAATGCACAAGATTCTGATTCATATATTCAAGAACTCGAAACTTAATTAAACATATTTTATTAATATTTATTAAATATATGTTATATGGGCAAAATTTTTTATAATAAATTATAAATAAAGTAATAAATTGAATTTCTGTTATCGTTAGACAATTTCTATAATTGAATGAAAGCCCCATTTATTGTTATTTTCACTTACAAGATGAATAATCCTTTAAATTATATCAAATAGTCCAAGAAAAACCATTAAAAAATTATTAACATATAATTTTATACAAAGACGCCCCCTTTCGGGGAAATATTTATACACTTTTCTAAACATTTTTATCGATTTTGAGAATGAAGATGGCCGCGTCCCAGACCAATTTTTTTTTATAAATATAAAGGAAGAGTTTAATATTGTCTACTAAATTTTTTAAAAAAATTGAAGGTCGTATTATTTCCAAAAAATCGTTTTTAGTCCTTATATATTAAATAAAATGACCGGAAATTGGGAAAAAAAATAAAAAAATTTTTTTATCTAAAAGTAGAATCTTTGTATGTAATTTTGATATTAAATTTGTTATTTACAATTATGTAGTTTTTAAGATATGCTTAATTGAATGAAGGCAGATAATGGTAAAAATACGTCATTTTTGACACTTTGAACCCTAATATCTTCAAAAATATAAATGTTAGGAGGCTAAAATTTTGGCTATTTCTTAGTTACATCGACCTTTCTTTGCTTACCAAATTTTAAAAAAATCGAAGGGGGTCGGCCGAAAATCTCATTTTTTTTGCTCATTTGACGTGGAATGACCCGTATGCGCTGTGATCGCTTGGTCGATTCCAGACTGGCCATATAATCCATTCTTGATGATTCAACCATTGTCGATTAAGCTCTGGCATATATTTCTTTCATTTTAATAGTTTCTTTAATCTTATTCAGGTCATGTACCCTCACTCCTTCTGTTTCCTTTCTGGGCCGCTAATTTCTGCCCCACTTTTCGGTCGTAATTGGTTAGCATGCTTCTAACGACTTTGGATCCATACTCTGCCATATGAATAAAATCCATTCCTCTTTACAATAGACTTCTCTCCATCCTGACTTTAACTAATTCCTTAGCAAAACTGTTTGGACGCTGCTTTGTATTCCTACGTGATATTCGTCGATTTTTCTTTTAATCTATTCGATCTCCTTTATCGGATTTGATCTCAACCAATCTAAATTAGTTTTTAAATTTTGTCCTAACATTAACTTGGCCCGAGATTTTCTAATAGCACTGTGAACACTCATCCTCTAAGACAAGATTTCATAAATTATTTCTCTTGGCCCTTCTTTTTTGAAGCGTATTATTTTCCTTTTAGTGTGCATATGGTACGTTTTACCTGTCTATTAGATTTAGTATGGCATGGAATTACAAGGATGAGTTGAAAATTTTCGTGTTTGCAAAATTTTCTAAACTCCTTTGATAGGAGTTGCTGTCCATTAGCAGACACCAGATGTTTAATACCAAACTCGCAAACCAACTTCTTAACACATTTATTAAATTGTCGGTGTTGTCGTTATTTCAGCAACTCAAACCCATTTGGAATATCAATCCATTTAACCAATGAAAAGAATTAATAGGCCCTATAAAATTGATATGGTTTTCATGGAAATCCTGGAATATTTCAAGAGCATAAAGGTGTTCCTGTAATTTCCGATGGTGTTATCTGACATCCCCGACATGAACATAGTTCTTCACATAGGTTTCAGTGTAAAAAGAAAAGCAATCGTTTTTTATATTTTGTAATTTTAAACCTCAGCAAACTTTAGTCGGCTTTCGGATAAATGATATATATATATAACTTTATTTAAAGTGTATCAAAATAGGTTGGCAAATCGGCTGGGAGTTTATCAAAACAATATTCGAGCACAACCATTTTCTTGTGCAATCTTTCTTATCTAACCACGCGGAAAATATTGGATTTCATATTAATCAGCTGATATTTGATTTTTATCGTCAATTTTTAATTCTAAACTTAGAAGAACCTGCTGGACAATCCGCCTTATCTAAGTGGCTTATGCGTTCGGACGATCTTAATTTACAGGTTATTTAAATAGGATTTAGATTTTAATATATATCGATTCAGTGGCGTAGACATATGGGGGGGGGGGTGAAAAATGAAAGAAATTATTTTTTTTAATTTACTAAATTGATAATAAATGTTTGAAATTTAAAAAACAACTATTTTTATGTTTTTAATTTATTATAAATAATAATTGATCTACAGTATTTGATTATTTTTTTAAATAAATTTTAAATTATTTTGCATTGCATATAACTTGTCTAGTTTGTCATATTCCTTTTTATAAAAATATATATTTTTCAATATGAAAAAACAATCATTTAAAAAAGCATTTCTTTTCTTTTGTCGGTTGAGTCTAAACTGTTTATTACACTTGAAACACGAGGGGATTTTAAGAAAATCTCAGAGTTTTACACTGATGATTTAGTAGACTCATATGATGAGTTACTTTGTGATGTCTGATTTTGGTGCTCTGCAGTAGTGTTATTAAATGGCTCGTTTTGAGCCGATTTTTAAAAACGGCTAACTCAATATTTTATTCAGAAAAATATTATGCAAGCCTGAAGATTTTGTTCATAGAAGGAACAAAGAGTTAGCCGTTTTTAAAAATCGGCTTAAAACGAGCCTTTTAAACACTACTCTGCAGGTCCTTTTCATGTGTAATTGCACTTTAGATTCCCTGCTTAACAACAAATTATTAATAATTTTAGCTACCTTATCAATTAGTATTTGCACTAATGAAAGATCTTTTTCAACTTTAAAAACGTTAAAAATCTGTTTAAGATATACCACCGGTGAAAAACTTTTAAATGGATCAGCCCTATTAAATATTTTTAAGGAGATTATTCTAGATAAAAATTTGATTCTAGATGAATTCGCAAAATCTCAGAGAAAAGTAGACCTTTCTTTATATTCAAATCAAAAAATTTCATTATGATTATATTAGTTTTAGTTTATAATATTTATAATCATTTTTCTTAAAATGAATTCTTGGTTATAACATTTATATAATTTTTGTATTAACTCTTAAATTTATGAAATTAATACTATTTTTAATACTGTGTGTTATTTATATTTTAATAATTGTCATAATTTTTTAAATACCATTATTTGCATAAGAATTACTTATATTTTATGTAATTGTTATAAAAAAAAAATTCCGGTTATAGGTCACTTTATTTGAATATTTACTGATATAATATATTGTCAAAATGTAATAACAAATAATTAATTTTTTTAAAATGTAAAATTGATAAAGGTGAAAAATGTAGAAATAGAGTTTACGGGAAAGGATAGGGATAAAAAAAGGAAGCTAGGAATATATAAGGTTATTCAATGGAAGAGATAAAACTTAGATAGTTAGAGCGAATAATGGTGGTAGCAAGTCTTTGACGTAAAAAAAGGGATTTCTTAGGCTGATCGGTTTTTTCCCTGATCCGTTTCCCTAATTCTTTAAAAAAACGTTGAGCTTTGCTACCGAAGGTGGTGAGAATGGAGCAGGCGATGAGTATGAATAAGAAAAGGGGTCTAAGGAACTATACTTGATGATTTTTCGAGATTCTGCGAGGGCATCGGCGTTGCGGTTAGATGGTGCATTTGGGTCAATGCAGGTGAAATCACAAACCAGGAGCTGACCCCTTGACCAAGGAATCAAGGACATTCTATCAGGACGTTTTCCATCGATTCTAAAAATTCCGGTGGGTTCAAGTCTAGATGGAATGCCTGCTGATTTGAGGGCACGTAGTATGATGTCGTTGCATTTGGTGTGCCGTTAAAAACGGCTTCGACAAAAGCCACAATGAAGACAATGTCTACCCTTGATATTGACACTGGTTTCGCAATGTTTACATTGGTACGGTAGAACAATTTCGCAATTGAGCCGTAGTCCAATAGCAAATCTTAGCTCGTCAGCGGAGAGCAACAAATCTAGGTTATTGGAGGGTATACTTTCCAGAAACTCGTAACCGGTTCCTTGGTTCAATTGGTGAAAAACTATGAGATCGTCGTCGTGAAGGCTCGATTTTAGGTAAGCGACTGAGTCTTCGTTGAGTGGAATATCCCAGTCTCTCTGTGAACATGAGGAGGGTCGTGGAGTATTTGGGACAACGGAATTGTCCCAAATGGTTCGGGCTTCAGCTAATAAATGGTCAGAGAAGTTAGAGATGGCTAATGTGTGATTCGGATGAAAGACGGGAGGCGATGAAACCACTAATGGAAAGAGTTAGAGGTGAGCGTAAGCCGATACCACTGAGCTTGCATGAAAGTGCTTGTTTGTAACCATGAATTATGGTTAAAGCGGATATTAAGGATCTCTTCAGCAAGAGATTTGACGGAGATTTCGAATGATTTTAATGAGTCAGGGAATTTTAAAATTGAGATGGATCGAGGGGCCTAAAGAATTTTAGGAATGTAGTAAAAGTTTTTGAGGAGAAAATAAGCTTGACGAGGGGGTAGAAACTTAGAAATGTTTTTGAAAAGAAGTAAGCTGGATGATGCGTTAGTGAAGAAGTGATTGATGGATTCCAGACCACCGACTGGAGAACCGAGATGAGTGAGGGATGAGAGTTCGGTTGTGTGGAAGTTGTGGGTGAATGGGATGGAGCAATGAAATGGACAGATCTTGGTTTTTTGTTCGTTGAGTGAGAGTTCGATAGCATTGGAATGTGTTTTGATGATGGCGTGCCTTAACAACCTCGTCAGGGGGACCGTAGAGTATTCCGTCTTCAATGTTCCTAGTGTACAGTGGAAGATTGCAGTTGGAGGAAATGTTTTTGACCATTTCGTTTATTCCAATGCAGAAAAGTATCGAACCCAGAGGATCGCCTTGTTGGATCCCTTCAGATGATGAAAGTAAATAGTTGTTGAATTGGAGATGAGATGGCATGGAATAGCAGGAATGGAAGAATGAGAAAAGGTGGGAAATGAGTGGTGCATTTGTGGGAGAAAGTGAGAGCGGCGAATGGAGTTGAAGGCATTAGAGAAATCAATTTTAACTAGGATTTTGTTACTTGGGTTGGTTTGGAGATGGCGAGTAGCAGTGCCGATACCTAGTTGGTGAGGTGCTAAAATTAAAGCTGCGTTGTCCTTAATTTTAGAAGATATTAGTTTAGCGACAAGACGGCGGAATACGGTCCTGATTGCTATTGGGCGGATGTCCTTATTGGGCTTTTCGAATGCGATTAGTTTAGCACCGAATAAAAGTGGTCTGATGGATTCGGAAACGAGTCCATGTGCTATTTTATTACAGAGTGTTGTTAAATTTTGTAAAATTGGGACCTGGCTAACTATAAGGGGGGATGTAAGATCCTGGAGGAAGATGGGAAGAAGCCCATCATAACCGGGAGAAGAGTCGTGATGTAAAGAATAGATTTGAACACCTCGGCGGGGGTGAAATCAGTAGGAAAAATATTGGGCGGAGGGGATTACATTTTTTTTAAAATAAAGTTTTTATAGAATAAAATTTTTAATATTATAATCAGTATAAAATATCTACATTTTGAAATTTATTTTAAATAATAAAAATATACATGATTAAATAAAGGAATGTTTAAGTATTTTTATATAATAAATAAAATCTATAATGAAATACTCTAAAATTTTGTTATATACAAATATTTAAAATAATTTTAACATAGCCTAAGATATAGAGATCTGTAAAGTTGGGCCCGGCCCAAACGGGCTTCGGGCTCGGGCCTATTTCTATTTAAAATAATCGGGCCGGGTCGGACCTTGGAAATTTTATTAAATATATCTAAATTTATCAATTTTATATTGAATTTTTTATGTAAAATAAAAATTTTTGATTTAATTTATTGAAACTAAACGCTATATAACATATGTCTTTTATTTTAAGTAATTATAAAAATTAATTTCTATATTTAAATAAATTCGGGCCGGTAAATTTTTTTATAATAAATTTCTAGCCGAACCGGCAAACTTTTTAAAAATTTCGGGTTCGGGCCGGGCCGGAAAAACTTTTTAAAAAAATTTCGGGCGGGCCGGGTTTGAAAAATTAGGCCCGATGCAGATAACTACTAAGATACAAGCAATTGAGTATTCATAAAAAATGGGGGGTTTGGGGAATCAAGCCCACCCCCCTATGAGAAAATCCTGTCTACGCCACTGTATCTATTGAAAAAATTTTGAGAATTCACAGTAAATGATTAATCTCTAATTTTTTGGTTAATATAATGTAAAAGGATTTAATAATTCTGTTATCATGTTCATACATTTTTATGTTAATAAATAATAGCTTTTTGAGCAATTGGACGCTATGATAACTTGTGACAACAATGACCATATAAATATTGATGATATAGGATCTGGCTGGAAATCTATTTTCACCATGATAAGGCTCATTAATCCTTTAAACTTTGATTTCACTTTTCTTTTTAACGATACGGCTAATAAAATTAATTTCGTTGACCCTACGCCTTCTTCCATTAAACAATCAGTTCGAAAAATTTGTTACTTAATAATTAACATAATTCATTCCTTCTACAGTTATTGTCTAGAAGAAAGATTAAATAATGTATCCAAACTTGCGAAATCATCTAACATATTTCTTAATCATTATTTGGACGTTTTTGGGTATTTGAATAAATTGTTGGGATACTGCTTTAATCGTCTTGGGTCTCTCATTGGTATGATATTTTTTTAAATTTTTGTACCGTGATTTTGACATACATTTATTTTACTATATCTCACGAAATATTGAAATTTCTTGTCATTCTTTCTCCTAAAAATATTTGCATGAATGTTGTTTTAAACGTCTCGTGAAATGTTACGCCCTCGCTGTCAAATGTGTATTCTAAACATTTAATTTTATCATTATCTACTTTATCAAAACATCGAATATTTTTTTTTGAAGAAATCCTATTAACTTTGGTTTAAATAATAAAACTTAGATGGTAGCGACAATCAAAACATTTTCGATCTGCTAAGACATTGGACACATCTATTGAAATTGTACACTAATCGATATTTGGATTACACTATAAACAACGCAGAATTTGTCGAGACTTGTTTTAATCGCAATAGGCGTTTGAGGTAATATAAAATAAAAAAATTCCATTTTTTTCTAGTGGCGTCATTGGGACCTGTCCTGCACAAATTTAATTTGAGCGTGTTTTGAATATTTCTGAGCTATCGACGCCACTGGATTTTTCAAGATATTTATAATATGTCATTTTTTCAATATATAGTTTTTTGGATACAAAAACAAACTTTTATGAACCCTCCTTAAATTTTGAACATATTCTTAATGTTATTAATACAATCGATGTTTCGCCAAACAAATTAATGACTGAAGATTATGATGACGTTTTTATAGTAAATATATATTATATATATATATATACATATTTAAAATTAAATTGCAATAATCTGAATGATGTATAATTTAAAACAGCCTAAGATGTTCTGGATTGGGGAGGGGAGAAGAACTTTCATACTGGTTCAATCAAAATAAAACTCATTTTTTACCGTTCAACTATTCAGTTTACCGTGGATAAATATTCACGTTTAACCTGATTAACTCACGGCAAATGCGAATACGCAGCTTAGAATCTAAAGATATGACATTGGCCTAATAACAAATTGTTGCTTTGGCATCAGAATTTGTCGCAATTCTTTTTCTACTCTAGATAAAAGATATTATTTTACAAAATTAGGCCTTAGAATAATATTTTTCTTTTATTCTCTATTAAGCGCGCTGGGCCTCTCTTCTTTTTGCACCCCTGGCCTAAATCAAAATTTTAAGATGGGCCAGGTAGCTTGCCGGGCATTGCAGGTCTCTAATATGTAGTAAGGAGGGCTCCACTAAACCCAGTGTTGGAGGGTTTACATTCCAATATTATTCGTCGTCTGTCGGGAGTCAGTCTGGTCCACCGATAGTAGCGTTTTTATTTTATCAAACATCTTCAGGTCATCACTCAACGGTATTATATGGTAGTCATACAATAAATTATAGTGGTTTATAAATAACCTTAAAATAATGCATAAAACCTGATTTCTCTATCAATCCGGCTTAAGAAAGACTATTCGTAATATACCACCCTCTATAAAGATATATATAACAATTACTCATTTCTAGGATTAGTTAAACCATTATGAAATATATTTACCTCATTTACACGGCATTTGCGAACCTTTACACACATTATTAATTATGAAGCAGAGTTTGAAAAAAGTTTCCAAAAAAATTTTGAGCCAAATCTTTAAAGATTTTTTTTTAAATTTGTGTTTTCATCTTGATTCATTTTTTTACATGAAAATTACAAAGTATTTACTTATAATAGATTTTTGACATTTTTAGGTAAAATTTGATCAAAAATCTTCAAAGATTAAACAATGTTAGAAAATTTTTTTCGAACTCTGGTATAAAGAAACATTGATTCTGGTCTTACAATAAGCAGCAAGTGTTTGATAGAATAAAGAAATTACTAGTACTATATATTGAAGACATCATATCCCAAATGATCTGGAATATGATGTCTTCAATACTGATTAAGGGCATTTTCTGTCTAAAGTTTTAAACGAAAAACACTAGATTATGATGTCATAGCAACAATTAGTTTTTCTTAATTTGAACCATTTATCTTCATGTAAATTAAATTTACTGTTTCTTTCTTATTGTACCTGCGATTTGATTGAGGAATGAATTCTTTTACATCGAGAACAGTCATTGTTCTTAAAGTTTTACTATATATTACAGCTAACTTTTTATAACTCTTATTTTATATTCCCCCCTTTTTACGAAAATAACTTATACAGTACAAAATGAATTTCATTGACCACAATCCTTTTTCAACTTACCTTCCTCACAAAAATACCAACAATGCCTATAAAAGTGTTTCTTCTCATTCCTATAATTACCTTCCTTCTTATTTGTCGGATTGGTTAGCCGAAATAATCCACGTTTATGATTCCCTTTTACTTTTAGGCATTTCTCAGCCGCTCTATTTAGAAAACCATGACATTTATCACTCAAGAAATCCGCATATTACTTATAATTATTCGAATGGACCCCATTGTTCAAAAGATGAAAAAGAAATTTCTAGTTGCACTCGTATAATCAGTTATTTTGAACGCAAAATCATGTCTAAAATCACGGGTAGTAGTAACTGCATTTTAAAAAAATGGACCATCGAATATTTATACTACGGATTATTTCCTACCTTAGGATACTATATTATACAAAATCATTGTGTCACAGCAAATTTAAAGTTGCTAAAAAACTCGATTTTGAACGACGGACGAAGAAAAAATTACAAACTCCTTTTATCTATTTTAACTAATCTCGTATCGGATATACTTTTAGATCCTAATTTTATCGGTATGTTTGTTTTATACCTACAACTATTTCTATAAAAATATTTTTAAAAATAAAGAAATGGTTTGTATAAATCTTAAATAGTCATTTATAGATGTGGAAAAAAAATAAAAAGTTTCTAAGAATAAATTTAAAATATTTTTGAATAATTAAAAATTATTCGGCAGATAATATAATTTCCTTATTGGTATTCGATTAATCGTATCGAGTAACGAATAATTTGTTTCAGTTATATTATTATACTTATGTTTTAATGGGAGTTTGAAACCAGAACCCACTTTATAAAATTTTACAGAAATTGGATTCAGCTCTAGCAGAAATGTAAATAACTTAGTTAATTATTATTACTTAGTTTATAAATAAGCATTACACTAAACCCTCGGAACTGTGAGTTACAGAAGTGGAAACAGAATTATAAAAATAAATATTCAAACTCTGATTTTAAAATACTTATAAGTCATTATATCATTAATATCTTATTCCACTCAAAATATTTTTATTTTTTTTCTTCTCCTTTTAGATTTTACAATGAAACAAGGAATTTTTGAGTCAATGTTGGTCATTTATTTGGATATATTACTCCTAATGGATTATTATTTATCAACCATAAGTATATCCCTACTAAGGTTATTGAAATATGACAAATAAAAATAAATAAAAAGTGAATAAAAATTATTGTCTTAAATTTATTAATTTTTTTTTATTATTTTAAAATTTTATAAAACATATTATAATATATTCATAAATTATAGGCATTTCATATTCAGTCTCTTGAACGGCTCATCTACTTTGAAAAAAATACTTACGTCCGATAATTATGATGCGTTGTTAAAACAAATAATGGACGTTTTAAGATTGTCCCTCTATTTAATTGCCCATAAATTGAGCGCATTTATAGGGATATTTAAGCCTCACAGTTGGAATATGAAAGGCAACGAGTCATTTTTTCATGTAACCTTAGGTGTTAAAACAAAGTCATCAACAGAAAGTGCAAATAGTTATTTAGATAATAATTTGACAAGCGTTCAAATGGGTTTGATTAAAGAGGTTGACAATAAAAAAATTATATTAAAATAATCTATTTTGATCAATTGAATCAATATTATGCATGTTATTTTTATAGCTCCTCTATAATGAAGATTTTGATAATGATGTCATTGAATTCGATTTAAAAGTACCAACCAAAAGTTTGAACGTTGATCGTATTATATATTTGCACATTGACGGGAAAGAGTCGAATATAAAGTTTGTAGTTCTGATTTTACATTATAAATATAATAAACAAATTTTAGATTTTAAGAAAAATTAGATTAAAGTCAAGATATTTTATATAAATTTATATGTATAATTTTAACGAGATTATTAATTGAAAACGATATCATTTCTAATACTTAAATTGCTATAATATTATATAATAATAACGGTCAAGTTCAACTTTGTTATCAATGGATTTTTTTTAAAAACATATATGAAATGTAAGTTTAAATAATTAGTATTATATTAGAGGCTCTTGTACCTACATAAATTTGTCCCAATCTTATCAAATTAAAATTAATGTCCAGTTCTACCGAATCCGGATCGAATATAGGTCTGAGTCTGTCCTGCATGACCCTAATATACCAGAGATTCATCGTTACCTATACTTTTAATTGATATTCAAAAATGAATCACTATTTACCCTCATAAATTAAAAATAAAATTAATTTTTAACCTTAAAAAATTTTCTATAAATTTTTAACCGTGTTATATTTTTTATATTAATTAAATAAACAATGATAATTATAAATATCGTTGCCCCCCCCCCTATAGACAAGACATATAATTTTTGAGAGCAGATCGAATAAAAAAAAGTGTTTTCGGTGCATCTCTTTATATATAAATCATTTTTTAAAAATAAATTTGTTCCTCTTTGAATTTTTAGGTTTGATATGTACGTTGAAGAGTTTTCTAATTCCATATTATCGCTCTTCCTTATTACGCAATTGATCGGGGATATTGGTTTAGACATTTTAGATTGCCCTTATATATTAGTACCATCTTTTCAAAGCGATTCAATATTCACCAGAAGGGTTGAAAAAAACGAAAATAAAGGTTTTTTTTCTATATAAAATGCTTTTTTTAAATTATATTTTATAAGAAAAAGAAAGAAATTGGCTTTACTTACCAATTTAATAGTCCAATAAGTTAGTATTATTTGTGATTTTTATTGTTAATTGTTTACATTCCTTCCTGAAGATTTTCAAAATTATCAATACATTCCTGAATTGATAAGCCTGTTAGCGGATATATATCATATGTCCAGCGCCTTCGATAGAAGGCCTGGAATGAAATTACTGCTAAAACGATGCTTGCAATACGATTTCCCCACGAATTCTATGCCAAATCTCTACAAAATTAATTCGTTGGTCTTAGCGTATTATGGACTGCTGACACTATATTCTGCTTTACATTACGAGTAAATACCAATAACCTAAATTTAACCATATTATAAAATAATTAATCAATTACTCATTTTAATATATCAAGATGTAATTATTAGAATTAATTTACATAAAATAAATAGGAACTTAAAGACTGAGAATTTTTTCAATTCTAAAACTCACGCTATGAAAAATATGGGTCAAATGTTGGCAAAATTTTTGGATTCCTTATATTCGTTTTCTTGTTTACTAAATAAAGAATTCATGAACTCTTCGACACTTTTTAAGTAATATATTTATTATTATTTCAAAGAAATTTTCCAAATATTATCAACTATTTTTTAAATAATTTAATAAGCCCATAACCATGAGTTTTAACTGGAGGGAACCGGATATTTAATCAATATTATGCTTATATTATATACAAACATGTATCCAAAATATTATTGCATTAATTCGGCGTTTAGGACATTTTATTTAAATTTAAATAGATATTTGTTCAAAAAAAAACATAGAGAAGATACAAGTTCAACAACGAAAGAGATTATCAGAAAGCATGAATCCGTTACTTTTGCCACTATATTTTCTGACCTCAAACTCGAAACTAATAATATCATGCCTATTCCTTCCACTAAACCCATAAAATCCTCTCGGTCCACGCCTAACATTAGTAAAAATTCATATGGAAAATCATTTCATGCTTCAATCGATGACCAAAATACATCAAAAACTAACTTCAACAAGTTTTGTCAAATGAATGAACCTTCAGCATCTATCCATGACGATGATGATTCTATCACTTCTTTATCGCGTGAAAAATTTAATAATCCAAAAAATTGCCTGGAAAATTTAGGAGATCAACCCAAATTTTCTTCCAAGAATTACCAATTAATTCATTCTTATCTCGTCACTCTCTTAAAGGTTTGTTAATAATGTATAAATGTTTATATGTTATCCCTAATAATGATATTTATTATGTTTTAAAAAAATGCTTAGGATACCCAAATTCATAAGAAAATATGGAATCTTGCTATGATCCAATTTTTGACACTGTTTGCACGTGATTTTGGATACCAAAATCTAATGAAAATAAAACCATTTATTATGCCCGTTGTGCAAATGTATTACAATAGTTTTCAGCAAACAGCCGACGTTGATGGGATTAAGATTAAAGAGTATACGTGCCGGTTGTATCAAATGCTGACTGAAGATTGAAATGAAAATTAAAATCTTAGTGGAGATCAATTATTTATTTTAATAAATTTATAATGTTTTTTAACAATATATTTAAACCTAACCTTGATTGATTATACCTCATGTTGTCAATATGATAATAAATTTGATTAAATAGAAAGAAATGAGATGAATAGCAACTTGGGGTAATGATTTAGCGTTAAACATGATTGATTTTTATGTGTTTTATTAAAATGTTAGCTAACGTCGTCAATTATTCTTATATATAGTAGTTTGCAAGTAGCGTCTGTTTCTTTCACTTTAGATGCTGATTATAAACACTTTATAAACTTTGACCTAGGTTCGAATCCAGGAAGTAACCGGTTAATTTTAAAAAATATAAACATTGCGTAAATATTATTTCCTAATAAAAATTTTAAATAAATTGGACCAATAAGTCATAAATTCTGAGAAAATAGATAAAAACTTTAAATATGATATTTGAAAGCAATTAGATTTATATCAACACCCAATGAAAAAAAGGATTGGTATCTGCTAAATGCCACTGTGTATGTGATATTATATTTAATCTATCTTATATGATTTATTAAAGTTGAAACATAATGTTATGAAATCTTTCTTCATAAATCTTCCCAGGCTAATAAAATAAATCAAGCAATTTATGCATAAAATCTATTAGGACAAGCCTGGAATTTGTAAAAAAAATTTAAACCTTGAGTAATGTCAATTTATAATTTTTCTACAATCAAAAAAATCGATACGGGCTAGTCTAAATAAATTTCAAGGTGGGCCCACCTCTGTAAAATATTTTTTCGGGCCGGGCTTAAAATATATCTGTTTGGGGCAGGAAAATCTTCACGTGCTGGTTTAGCCATGCTTATCACTGGTTAATTTATGTTATAATCTCATAAATATTATATTAATTGAGAATAATAAAAACTAAATCAATGATACCACTAACCGTTTAAACGGGGGGTTGGGAAGAGATGATTCTTCTGTCATTCTTGCATCTCACGAGTATGAGTATACTGACCCGACATATAAGTATAGTCTCAAATTCGGGAATTTATCATTTTTATAGGTAGGGAAGGACAAAAGGATCAAACTGGACCTATTTTTAGAAGAGAAATTTAACTATTCGAGCTTTGCATGTCGATCTTCTGTTCATTCTTATTTTAAGAGCAATAAGAGATTTTTAACAAGAATTTATGATGATAATTTAAATACATAGACATAGTTGACTATCTAATTTTATAGTTTATAATTCGTTTAAATTTTAAATGAAATTAGGATTTTCCTAAAAAAGGTCTTTACATCAATCAATAAGTTGTTCATATATATCCTGTATTTCAAATTCAAACCTGCGAATTGGAAATATTTGTAATTCTGGAACTTCCTCTCCTACTTGCTATAGAACAAGCTAAGGAATTAATGACAATTCCTGTCATAGCAAATGGAGGCCTATTAATAAATAAACCATCCTATAGTTCAAAAAGGTTTGAAGAGTTTGCCATTAGGGGCATTCTGTCTCAAGGCCCACGCAAAGAGGGGCATATATAGATTTTAGAGGCCGTCAAATTTTCGTTCCTGTGCAATAATTCATTCCATTTTCTATCTTTATATTTCCTTTATTACTATTTTTGATTGGAATTTCCTTTTTATTTTTTCTAATTTTGTGCTAATATTTTTTGGATTTCCCTTATTTTATTTGGATTTACTTTGCTCGCTTCTGTAAATTGAGCCTTAATGGGCTGTTAAGTTAGTTTTCACCCATATCAATCAAAAGTCTTAGCACGACCCCGTTCTACCTCAATGCCCATTAGACTTGCTCTACCAAAATAAATTTGTCAAAAAATTTAAAGATAAGTTTGCAGAGTAAACAATTAATCTTGAATAGTTTTTAGCCAAATGTCCTGCGAATTAAGAAATATAAAAAATCCAACTAAATTTAAAAATCTCTGGTTTAAATAAATTAATATAAAAAACGGCTATATATTTCATTCATATTTTATAAGATATTCACTGGTTACTACAGTAGAAATTTTAAACTTTGAAATATTTATCTCTTTAAAAGATCCACCAATAATTTTGAAATCATTCTTAGAAGACCAAATAGAATAAGCCTACCTAGACTTATAACTGTATATGGTCATTTAGATAAAAATATATGAATACAAAGAAGTTATTAAGTTTAATTATTTTTCATCAAATAAAGGATAAATTTATTGGGGGATTGATGAAATAGGACAAAATATATTGCTATAAAAATTAATACTTTTATTATAGACCTATTATAATACAATGATATTGCTGATTATCGATCAAATCTATACATTGCAAACAATCATAGACATTATTTTCCAGATAAAACTTTCTACTATCCTTTTAAATGTAATTTAAAAGGGTTAGATATTCTCAGCAAACTCATATTCATGCTAAACAATAAGCTATGATAATGCATTCATTGTAAATGAGGGGGTTTTTATTGAATACATGATCTAAAAAATACTCTTATATTCTTAATATTTTGATAGTTGGTAGTAAAGCTAAAATTAGTTATTCTTTTTAAAATTATAAAGGGAGTAATATTTTAATTAAAAATTTGCAATTCATAATGTTAAAACATCGGCGCCGAAGGTGGTGGAATTTTTTTTTAGGGGGGTAGGCATAGGGTTTTTGAGGAGGGTTTGCATCCAGTGAAAATCCTCTAATGTAGACGCCGTTTATATAGTCAATGGTAATCTTTATTACAAAATGTTGTATAAATATACTTTGTAAACTATAATATTAATTTCAATTGACCATTTAAGTCTGTATAATATTAAAACTTGTAATATTCAAATAATATCGTAATATAATTATGATAATCTTTATGATTTATAGCATATCTTCTTTTCCCCCAAGCTCAAGTTCATCTATTAATATTTTCGTTCCTTTGTTGGATATCGTATTTAGTACTTTGAAGCTTTGAATTATTTTTTGTTAGATGCATTCCAAACTTTAATTGTTCATTTTCATTTATTATGATGGATTTAAACTTTTCTTTTTCTTCCCCGGTGTGAGAAAATTTTGATTGTTGTTTTATTACTATTTTCAATTATTCTATCATCCCTTTTCTCTATTGGATTTATATCCACCTTAATATTGGCCTACCTTATAATTTATAAATATTGTATTAGAATTATGATAACCTTTATGAGACATAACATCTATAATAAAAGATTTATTAATTATAGAAGATATGAATGGCATAATAAAGGTTAAATATCAGCATGGATTTTATGGCATGTGTATCTTATGTAGATAAACCTGGACTTTATGCATTTCTTTATTGCAATCAAATAAACCATTTATGCAAATTATATCAATATTAATCAGATAACAACAACATAATAATACAATCATAAGTATCCTCATCCCATTCCATAATCCCCAGCAATCATTTTCGAATTTTCCTCCATCTCCACAACCATTTGTTGTGGATTCATTATTCTGGTCTTTCTATCCTCGTCTTAGGTAGCTAATCACTACAACTTATATTATATAATTTTTGTTGAGCAAGTATTCTGACATTGACATGCAAAATTCTGACATGAATTGCAAAGAGTTCGTGAAAGTTATTTATAAAGATAACAAAATTTTAAATAAAACTAAATCTTTTGATAAATATGTAGAAATTTTGTATTTAATTTTTTTATATTTTGATTTTGTAAATTTGCATAATATTTTGTAAATATACATAGCATTGGCGGTACGCAGCGGGGGGGGCAGGGGGACAAATCCCCCCCCCCAAGCCAAAAAATGCAGATGCCGGATATATTTTTCAAAAATATTATTGTTTATATTAATTTATATTTGTTAATATTTATTCGTATCTCATATTAAATATATATTATATTACATTTATTATCACATTCATAAGTTATTTTATCAATTAATTTCGATTTCAAGTTTTCCGGCGTAATATTTATTTATTATTTTCAAATTTTTAGTGGCGTAATATTTATCTACCATTTTCAATTTCTAGTCAAATAATAATTATTTCTGAAACTTCTGGTCCAACAGGGAAAAAGAAATTGCAACCTTGTCCAACGAGATAGAGCCTCTTCCATCAAGCACTAACAGCTATTAAGGAGTTAGAAGAGCCAATTATTTGCTATTACTGAAATATTACAATGGCCTGAAAGAAATATTTCCTCAGAAGCAAGAAAATTATTGGATCCAATGCTTATTCCAAATTTTATTTATCATTAGAATGTATTATTTAATTATACAACTATTTTAAGTATTACTTTTCAAAAACATGACAATGATTTGATTAAGAAGATGAGAATAGCGGAGAGCATTTTATCAGAACTCAAGGAAATTAGGGCTAATGTTGATGAAGAATAATAAATTGTACAGAAGGCAATTATTATTTAAGTGAATTTTTATATATTTTAAGACATTTGTTTCGATAAATTTACAACTTGAAAACGAGTAACGTATTTTATTCAATATTTATTTTATTACATAATATTACAACTAACTCTAATAATTAACAAAAAACACGACTATATATATCTATAAAAACAAATTAAACTTTAACAACCTAAAGTCATAATCACAATATACTTTAAAGTTAATGTTCAAATTTTATAACCTTTTATCTTTAATATCCCACAGTGATAATTTATACAATTTTAAAAGTGACAATTTCAAAGTTAATTTAAATTTAAATAATTTTCCTAATACAACAAAGAATTTCATATTTTATATTTTATTGTTGAGTCAAAAGCAGAGCTATACGTGTTTAATATTTGTCTCCCTCGACAGCAAGGCAAGCTCATCGTTAAAACATTAATATAGAATCAGTAGAAGAGTTTATCTTAGATGTTGATACATTTATAACTCAAATAAATGAATTTTTAATATATCATGCAGCACTTACATCTGCAAATATTACTTCCACAAAAGCCTTCCCAACCTTTTTCAGATGGTGATAGAAAAAAAAATATTTGTTAGATTTTTATTATGAAGATGTTAAAGTATCTTATGATGCCTTACTAGCTGTATAACTATGTTTATAAGATTAACTATAGTTGATATAGTCCCAAAAAAATCCATGGATGCTCTGCATTATTTCAAACACATTTTAGATTAAATTCCC